TGAACAAGGGTTAAAATGCACATAATTCCTAGTAAAAACACACACGCCGCCCACCGTTTTGGTTTCGGTCAATTCTATGAATGCTATAACCCGGTAGCTCAACCTCATTGTCCTCAATTGACCCATCGAGCCATGTCTCAGTCACAGCAGCTACTGCAGCCCGAGTGTTAGAAGCCAGGAGTTTTAATTCCTCTAATTTCAGCTGCAGGCTCTGTGAGTTCACATGGATAAAGTGAAGTCCTCTCCGATTGAAACAGTCAAACATGTCATTTTCTGTCCCCACTGCTGATACATCGACTATCTCATCTAGATTGCACTCATCATCCCTGCTTGTGTCCAGCATCCCAATGTTTGGCATCGCATTTAGCTTGGCCGTCCTGTAGCTCAGTTGGTAGAGCATGGCGCTTGCAACGTCAGGGTTGTGGGTTTGATTCCCACGGGGGTCCAGTATGAAAAATGTATGCACTCACTAACTGTAAGTCGCTCTGGATAAGAGTGTCTGCTAAATGACTGAAATGTAAATTTAAACAGCATACATTGCAAACAAGCGAAATGTTACTTTTAGACTTTACAGCTTCATCATATGACAAGGGTTGGATAGCTCCACACTTTATGTGAACAAACAAATCACAAATGTTGCAAGCCACCGCTTTTGAATTCTTCCTTGCGGTCTTAACGCAGTTTGGGCATAGCTTTTTAGCTTGCTTTGTGGTGTTTGGGCCAGGACAGGGGTGTACATCGCCACAGAGTAGCAGACTGAACGTAACAAGCAGCTGTGGCGTTTCCTGTGTACATTCCCTGAGCGGCTCAGCTGTTCCCGTAGGAAAGGTGATATCAGGTGCCGGTAAAGTTGTTCATGGCTGAAGTTCACACTATAAAAGCGAAGAATTCCATCCACGTCTTTCGGTGTAGGTGTAATGGAAGTTTGGGATAATCTCCATGTTTGAATTGTAGAATAAATCAGAAACGCCAGAGCAAAGCTTCTGCCTAGAGCCATAATCCTGTTGTTGTTAAAGGCTATATTGCAAGTAGCCTAGTGTCTAAATGTTCCCCCGAATCCCCCTTCCCTAATTAGCCTACTGTAGTAGGTATGAAATATATTTCCTACAATATACAGCCAAAACATTAGGTCTAACTGGCAGCAGTAGGCTACATGATATGTGTCAGTGAGTGTCTTTCTCTGTTTTGACCAGGGCAGGGCCCATAGGACTCTGGTCATAAGTAGTGCACTATGTAGAGGATAAGGTGCCATTTGGGACATACCCGAGCATCTGAATATATTAATAAAGTCCATTATCACACTTTGCACCTACCTTCATCCCCCCCAAAGTGTCACGTTTCATCAGCTGCCTGTCAAAGCAATTTTTTAAATGTCTTTAATCTGGATTGAGGGACGACCTCCTCCTATTCACCTCCACATCATGGTGGGTTAGTTGGTTGCTTCGGTGCGGTGAGCCACCACCACTAACCTCCAACCACCACTAACACCCTAGAGTCCTTCATACATCAATGGCTCCATCTCTATCAATTGAAGAGGACAGAACTCATTGTCTGCATCCCAAATTGCACCGTATTCCCTATACAGTGCACTACTTTTGACCAGGGCCCATAGGGAATAGGGTGCCGTTTGGGACATCAATCATTTGAGAGAGGTGTTCATAATCATAATCCATCTCCTGAAATCAATGGTTGATAATTGAAAAGGGCCACACACACACACGTTGATCTCCATTGCTGTTGTTCGACTCATTAATCAAGAGCAAAATGAAGGCGAGAGTTTGACAAACAGAACAGTGGTCTGATTTGTGCTGATTCAGTGCGGCCCCTAAAACCTAAAATGGGACGACATTTATTAAGCAGATTTGTCACCCCAGATGGAGGGTAAGCGAGCTCTGGGCGAGAGCCGCCAGCCTGGGTTTCTCTCTGCTGGCTGCTTAGTAAGTGTGGCATTTTTTTACACTGATGAAACGTGACACTTTTTGGGGGAGATGAAGGTAGGTGCAAAGTGTGATAATGGACTTTCTTAATATATTCAGATGCTCGGGCTATGTCCCAAATGTCACCCTATCCTCTATATTGTGCACTACTTTTGACCAGAGTCCTATGCACTATATATAAGATGCCATTTAGGATGCAGCCGCAGGGTGAGAAGAGAGGAGCTCCGGGGTGCTCTACAGAAAGAGAGGAGCTCCGGGGTGCTCTACAGAAAGAGAGGAGCTCCGGGGTGCTCTACAGAAAGAGTTGCCTGCCTGTCTTAATTGGAAATGTCACCTAGCTGAGATACGGCATATGAAGTGAATTTGATCAATAATGAAAGGATTTGCAATAGATTATAATTCTGGACTGGGACTAAGAGGAATTAATGGGCTATGTCTGACCCATTATGTTTGCCTGACTACAATATCCTGTTCAGTATTGGTGACCTTATAGCTCCTGTACCTGGATGCATAACAAATGCTGAAACATTACAGTTAAAATATAAAAACATTACAGTTAAAATATGAAAACATTACAGTTAAAATATAAAAACATTATTTAAAATATATAGCCAAGTCCTATAATCCCTATAAATGTGTATGCAAACAAGAAGACATGATTTGGTGACTCATATTGGTGTAGCAAGAGGGTTAGTGTCACGCCCTGACTCTAGGGACTTGTATTGGTTGAGTCAGGGTGTGTATTTTCTGTGTTGGGTTTATCTATGTTAGTTTCTAGATCGTTTAGATCTATGTTGGCCAGGGTGGTTCCCAATCAGAGGCAGCTGTAGCTCGTTGTCTCTGATTGGGGACCATACTTAGGTAGCCTGTTGGCACTAGTGGGGTGTGGGATCTTGTTCCGTGGAAGGTATGTTTGTGTGTAACCTTGGACTTCACGTGTCGTTTGTTGTTTTGTCGTGTGTTTATTCGTGAAATAAATATGAATGCCTATCACGTTGCGCCTTGGTCCTTCTCGTCCGTAAACGATCGTGACAGTTAGTTTGAGTTGTTTAGGGAGTAGGCCTATCTTCTTCAGCCTCAAGCTCTGTCCCATTAGAGATCTGACGATCGTTCAGGTTTGAGGAATCAACGCTTAAGCTATTAGAAATAACCTAAACAAAGACATAATACAATGTGTTACAGATACAACCACGTCATGAAACAAGAGCCTAACATCCAAGGGGCCTGTCTTTTGCCCTCATTACGTCCACTGCTCACTAAGACATCCCTGAGGCTATGAAGATGAGCTAGAGCTAGCTAGCTACCTGTTCAGCTGTGGATGATTAGCTGCCTAGCATGCAGTGTATCCCCCTGTCTCCGTCTCTCTCCTGTCTGTCTCCATCGATTGGGAGTGTAGTCTCTAGTCTAAACCTGGCCTCCTGCTCCTGCTGTTCACTAGGGAATGAAGGACTGTGTGTGTGCATGACTGTCGGCGGAGTATTGTGAAAGCAGTCAGTCCTGTCATTAGGATGCTGCTCACATTGACACACAGCAGTGCCATCATGGCCTAAGCCAAACGGGCGGAAACTTTAGTAACAGGTAGTGTAGGGGAACCAACCAATGCACTGATTGCCAGGCAGCAGCCCAGACATTGATGGGGCTTGTTGCAGTATTGGCTACCTGTCAACTGTCAGGTGATGTGAGTGGCGAGCATGACAATGTCAATGGTCCAGGAAAGGTTTGCAAATCCTCTCCTCGTTCTGTGTGTGTGTTGCTCCATCCATGCTGATGTCCGTGTCCCTCCTCAACTCCACATCCTCTCCCATCCCCTCTATTCTCCACTCTACATAGTACTGCTTTCATTTCACCATAATACTAGGCTATCTATCCACTTCCTGTGAATATAATTGTGCTCTGTTTATGATTCACTCTGTTGATCTTCTCAACAGTATGAATTATGCATACCCACTCTGTTAGGCCGTAAATAAGCCTGGAGAAATATGATCGTCGGGCGCAGAAATCATCACCAGCCTTTCTTACATTTGTAAAGGGTCTAATGTTCACATAGCTGTGAAATAGGCCTGCCTCAGTACAGTAGCTGCCTCCAGATGCTCTCAAATAGATGAGGACTGACTCCATCTCGCACTCAAATAGCTGAGGACCTACTCCGTCTCGCACTCAAATAGCTGAGGACTGACTCCGTCTCGCACTCAAATGTCAATACTACTTCTGTCTGTTTCCTTAACTACGTAGTCGTTTCACAAATAGATGCGTTTTCAAATCCTATTTAGCACGTCTATCATTTTTATCAGTCAAGCTCTTTTGTGAGGCAGGCTACAGTACGGTGGACTTTAAAGCTCCCCTTTCATTCTGCACAGTGGTTGCTTCAGTGCGCTGGCTGAGATGGCCTGGGGGAGAGAGGAGGGGGAGAGGCATGAGGAGAGGTGGAGAGGCATGAGGGGAGAGAGGAGGGGGAGAGGCATGAGGAGAGGTGGAGAGGCATGAGGGGAGAGAGAGGCATGAGGAGAGGAGGAGAGGCATGAGGGAGGCATGAGGGGAGAGAGGAGAGGCATGAGAGGAGAGGCATGAGGGGAGAGGCATGAGGGGAGAGAGGAGAGGCATGATGGGAAAGTGGAGGAGGAGGAGAGGCATGTTGGAGAGGTGGAGAGTCATGAGGGGAGAGAGGAGAGGCATGAGGAGGAGAGGAGGAGAGGCATGAGGGGAGAGGCATGAGGGGAGAGAGGAGAGGCATGAGAGGAGAGGCATGAGGGGAGAGGCATGAGGGGAGAGAGGAGAGGCATGATGGGAAAGTGGAGGAGGAGGAGAGGCATGTTGGAGAGGTGGAGAGTCATGAGGAGGAGAGGCATGAGGGGAGAGAGGAGAGGCATGAGGGGAGAGAGGAGAGGCATGATGGGAAAGTGGAGGAGGAGGAGAGGCATGAGGGAGGAGAGGAGAGGAGGAGGAGAGGCATGAGAGGAGAGAGGAGAGGAATGAGAGGAGGAGAGGCATGAGGGGAGAGAGGAGGAGAGGCATGAGGGGAGAGAGGAGGAGAGGCATGAGGGGAGAGAGGAGAGGAGGAGAGGCATGAGAGGAGAGGAGGAGAGGCATGAGGGGAGAGAGGAGAGGAGGAGAGGCATGAGGAGAGGTGGAGAGATATTGTCAGACAAGAGGCGAGGGTATGTGGAGAAGAGTAGCGGTGTTGCTACGCCAAGAGGAAAGGAGAGGACAGTAAAAGAGAGGTGTGGAGAGAGGAGAATTCCCTCCACCAGAGATGTCGCTCGGCCGGCCCCGAGAGCCCATTTCTTAATTACCCCTTACTGTCATCTCCACACACCCGTCGTAGAGTCTCCAACCGAGGGGACGTCACCTTGTCATCTCCTCAACACCGCCCGTCCGCACCACGGCCACCAGCCTCCCACTTCCAACACCTAGAGACACAAGGAGGAAATTAGATAGATGCCCCCTGTAGAGTTCATCAGTCATCCAGACAGAGGAAAGAAGAAAACAAGATGACGCTTCACTTCTGTTCTGTTTTTCTTCAATCTACGTTTTAATTTAAATGTACTGACGAGAATCTGTTGAATTCCCGTCACGCCCATCTTACAAGGTATCTAGCATTGGAAATAAAAAAACTGTGCCTGACAGGTGCTTGTTTTGATATCACGTTATATCACTCATCACTGTGATTTGATGAATGTGCTCAAGAATGAGGACATTGGTAGCTAATTTTGTACTCCATCGGGGATTGGGCGACTGGGACATGATTTGATGAGTGATAGGAAGGAGCTTGTTTGAATATCTCATTGAAGATTTCAATTGCATACACCTTGCGTCCTCTCTCCTCGTCTCCTCCTCAAAACCCATTGGAAGAGAAGGTCAGTGGGGAGGGACCTCTGGCTTTCTCATCCAATGGGTTTTGAGAAGGAGACAAAGAGAGAGGACGCGAAGAGTATGCAATCGAGATATTCACACAGTCGCACACAATGAGATGAGACTCTGTCTTTGTTTCGCCTTTATGCTGACCACCTACATAAGGTTTTGTCTTGCACATCTGTTGTCTGGCAATCTCATAATATCACACAAATGACCTATCTTCTGCACTGAAGCATCCGATGTGTGAGTTATTCTGAATGTGAGTTGGCCACTGAATAAATACAGTATCTATCCATCAATATATCTTCAGGTGTGCCTGGTGTCGGTGCTGCAGGCGGCTGTAAAGGTCTCTCCTCTCATAGAGAAGGTCAGCGACCACAAGGACTTCAAGAAGCTCCTTCGGACCCGAACCAATGTCCTGGTGCTCTACACTAAGTCAGGTGGGTAAGAACCAATGTCCTGGTGCTCTACACTAAGTCAGGTGGGTTAGAACCAGTGTCCTGGTGCTCTACACTAAGTCAGGTGGGTTAGAACCAATGTCCTGCTGCTCTACACTGTCAGGTGGGTTAGAACCAATGTCCTGGTGCTCTACACTAAGTCAGGTGGGTTAGAACCAATGTACTGGTGCTCTACACTAAGTCAGGTGGGTTAGAACCAATGTCCTGGTGCTCTACACTAAGTCAGGTGGGTTAGAACCAATGTCCTGGTGCTCTACACTAAGTCAGGTGGGTTAGAACCAACAACTAATGCCCTCCTGCTCTACACTAAGTCAAGTAGGTCAGTGGGCATACTTTAGGCCCTTTGTAGTAAAAATTATATGTGAAGTTAGATCTGCCTGTTTTTGGTGTAAACAACCTCTTATAGTGGTCTGTTATTATATCTCTGATCCATCACTTGTAATGGAACATGAACAACATTCTGGAAGGACTGTGATAATGCATCGCACTTCTTGTTCACAACGACCTGCAGGCTTGTGACATCTCCCCTGGATTTGAAAATTTTGCATAGAATCATGTACTTGAACAGAAACAGACACCCAAACTAAATGCGGTCAAATAAAGCCTTAAAACTGCATTCACCTACAGCCATTAGGGAAATCACCCTCTCTTGCATTTAATTCATTTTCATATTTCACGCCAGCAGAAAGTGTTCAGCTCAGTTCACTCTCATATGCTCATATAAGACTCTGTGCCGTGTGTGTTTGCCGGTGTGTGTCAGGGATCGACATTAATGCTTGTCCATTTGCCCGGGGCAAGTAAAAATAAATGTTGGACAAGCAGATTATAGATTTAAGTTTTCTGTATAGACAAGTAAAAAACATTCATGCAAAAATCACAATATCAAACGATTAGGTTACTCTGATCATAATTGGATCAGTGTCCTCCGGATGTGATATTTTGCTCACTGTCCTACCAATTTCTGCAGAGCGCATCGGAGTATAATTATTATAGACCTGCATTGACAGACACGAGCGGTCTTTCAATGATGCAGTCGCAAAATGTGTTTTTGAGATCAAAGCGAGCCGTGTTCGCACTTTTGTTGACAATAATTGCTAGTGAGTTATTTGCCCAGTTATAGCACATTTTTGGTCAGCAATGAAAATCCTGAAAACGTCATGGTCTGTGCATCACCTGCATGTGGGCCGTTGCCAGAGGAGAGAGAGAGACATTTGTGCAGCAGGTAAAATAATGATATACAACAGACTAACTAGATAACCAGCCAAACTCTATCTCGCTAGTTAACTATTTAGTTATTAGCTGCATTAATGTCATTGTCATGTCTGATAACTTTCCACCGGCTCCAGATTTGTTTCATAATTCATGGACCGTTTCAGCCGTTGTTAGGTCATTGTATAAGACTTGCATGTATCAAACGCCGCCCCGTGATTGATTGCTTGCCGTTGCCGCGGCGCTGCGTTCTGGCGTTCTCCGAAGGTTTAGTCCTCCCCCCCCCAATCATTTCATTTCCTGTTGTCGGCTACTCTCTCTCTCTCTACTCAGTGTAGTGCGTCCCAAATGGAAATCTATTCTCTACGTCCCAAATGGCACCTATATTCCCTTTTTGGGTCGCACAATGGGCCCCTAATCCTCAGTATCATGGCAATGCCCCCAAAGCTAAATCTAGACAAGGTGTCCAGAGAACCATGAATTGTTCAACTCATAATAAGTGTTGAAGGGGTTGTAAAAGTGATGTATTGTTGTTGAGCAGGGACAAAATAACCACAGTTATTTTACTTATTTGAGTCTACATTGTATCTCAAAGGACATTGTGTAATGTTGCACGGTATTGTTACAGTACAGTTTATTACAATTTATTCTCTGATGGTTTCTCAGTAGGCCTTGGCCAATGCTGTGTTTATGATACTCATAACATGTTGGAAGTAGCCTAGTGATCGCTCGGTTAGGTAATGTCACAAGGTGATGAGTGGGGGGTGGTACTTGGTAATGCTCACGTATACCCTCCTGTGATTTGATGTTTGAGTTTATAGTCCATGTTTTGAGTGTTGTGACCTCTGACCTTCAGTGAATTACAGGTTTTAGAACTATTGAGTAATGAAAGCTGGTGAGCTTAGCAACATAACCGATATTGTAGTGAAAGGTGTATTGTAACTCCACCTGTTGTAACCTACTCCAGTCCTCTTATCTTGTGTGTGTAAATAGCTACCTCCGGGGACTCTAAGCTGAAGCTGCTGTCTGACGTGGCCCAGGTTGTCAAAGGACAGGGCACCATCGCCTGGGTCAACTGTGGGTAAGTACAGGGTTGATTGGTTGATAGATTGATTTAATTACAGTATGGAATGGCATACATTATTATTTCGTCACCATGTCACATACTGTATGTCATATATAGCGTCCAAGGGATTTTACAAAAAGCATTTTAGGTTAGAAGAATGTCCTTATTAATTCATCTGTGACATGTCCCTCCTTATCAAAATGTCCAAGGGGTTTCTGAATAGCATTATATGTTAGAAAAATGCCATTAATCCATTCCTCCCAGTATCAGCTCTGAGATGTATAGCTATAGGAAAGTAGTAGTAAAACCCTCTTTATACAGCTGCCTTGTAAGAGCAGAGTGAGACAGGCCTGGACTAAATAATCTATAGCAGCTATTGAAGCCTAGGACAGCTGCATGACGTTGTGTCATATCTATTTATATCCATGCCATCTCCATCTCTCCACTGCACTTCTAATCGGTGTTGTCTCGGCTTGGCATATCCTCCTGAAGTCACAGCGGAGGTTGGAGAAGAGACGCTCATTAAAATAGGTCATGGGCATCGTGTAGGAAGACATGCTTTCCTGACCCTGTTTCCCTGAAGCCCCTGCAATAGATCTGTCAGGTCTGGGCAGATGAACCATTTGAAACGCATTCTCTGGAAGTGTTCATACTGGGAGGATCCACCACACTCCCAAGACACACACTAGAATAATTGTTTTCCTTAAACATTTCTTCCTTCACGTTTCCCCGCGTGATCCGACTTCTCCTCTAGTTGTCTTTCTGCCATTTTATGTCCCTGTTGTTTTTTATACCTCTCAACCTCAACCTCGAGCTCTTCGTTGCTCCAGAGAAAATGCTTCAAACAGAAAACTACAAAGGAATCAAGATCACCCCTCTGACACATACCACTCAAAGCATCCCTCAAAATGTCTTTCTAGCCTTTCCAAAATGGAAGATGGACGGGAAAGAAAAAGTGTCTCAAAACAATGTAGCCTGGTCAGCAGTTTTATATAGACCTTCGTCCAAACAAGAGATTTGCTGTGAGATTTTCTTTATTTTCATGGCAGTAAATCTGTCAACCCTCTCTTTCTATAGCTTCTGCCTTATAACTGAGGCTGTTCTAATGGTTGACTTTGCCACCTGTAGCGCAGACTGTATCACCTTGACCTAGGAGAAGAATCCCTGCATACTGTATCACCTTGACCTAGGAGAAGAATCCCTGCATACTGTATCACCTTGACCTAGGAGAAGAATCCCTGCATACTGTATCACCTTGACCTAGGAGAAGAATCCCTGCCGCTGCTCTCTGCATATCCGTCTCTCCCTTTCTCCCGACTCATTTCAACCATTATTCCACTCTCATTCCACTCTCGTTTTAAAAATAAATTCTGTCAAAATAAATACTGAAAGGTGTGGAAGTTCCTGAAGGTTCTACAGTACTGTACATACCTGTGCCAGTGACCCTACAGAGGACCTGATACGAAAGGGTTCATGGCTGCTGTTACTGTTCAGACAGCCTCTCTCTAGCAGAGAGGTTTCCCCACCGTCTCAAGATCTCCCATGGACCAGCTCCAAAACATAGCTTAGCCGAGTGCTGTTGGACATGGAGAAAGACATCCTCACGGGTGTCGTTGGAAGAATGGTTGCCCCTGCCAACAGAGAGGAATGTGAGCCCAGGTTGGCAGGACCTGAGAGATGTCCAACAGTGAGGATGCCAGAGGAACTGGGCAAGAGACAGTGCCAGTCCAGGCATGGATGCTAGACTGCATACGGTGCTGAGTAAACTAGGAGATTTGTAACTTTTATTATTTTTGTAATGTGCTCATTAATCTCTGACTGCTTGGTTGACCATCAGACTAAATGCTAGCCTGAAGCCTCTTCCCAGCGGGCAAGCTGGTTGAAAACAGGTTGTAATGACGCCATTTCAACCAGCGTTGCCTGCTGGGTAACAAGGCATCCCGGCCGGCCAAACCCTCCCCTAACCCGGACGACGCTGAGCCAATTGTGCACCGCCTCATGGGTCTCCCGGTCGCGGCCGGCTGCGACACAGCCTGGGATCGAACCCGGGTCTGTAATGACGCCTCTATCACTGCGATGCAGTGCCTACTGTTACTGCGATGCAGTGGCTTAGACTGCTGCTCCCTTCGGGAGGCCACCTTTTGTTAACACCTCATAACTTCCTGCCGCTCTCCCTCTTCTCAGTTCCTCCTCTAAACACCCTGTGTGTTCCCTCTTCCAACTCCAATTGCCTATTTACTATTTTCAATGTCGTTTTTAATCAACTACCTTGCCATTTTACACTTTTCTGGGTTGTTTTGAATTAACAATCAACTACAGCAGAGTACATTTCTTTCAGTTTACTTCCTTTTGAGTTATAAGGGTGTAAAGCCTTATTTGAATATTTCTTAATGTGTCACAGTATGGTGGTTTGCAATGTGATATCCAATCTCTGTTGGAAGCCAACGTAATGGAAGATAACCAGCACTTTTACATCACTCACAACTTGCAGTACAAAACAGTACATGAAGACTACCTACAGTATGTTAACTGGAACAACTACAGTGGCTTGCGAAAGTATTCACCCCCGTTGGCATTTCTCCTATTTTGTTGCCTTACAACCTGGAATTAAAATGGATTTTGGGGGGGGTTATATCATTTGATTTACACAACATGCCTACCACTTTAAAGATGCAAAATATTTTTTATTGTGAAACAAACTAGAAATTAGACAAAAAAACAGAACTTGAGCGTGCATAACTATTCACCCCCCCAAAGTCAATACTTTGTAGAGCCACCTTTTGCAGCAATAACAGCTGCAAGTCTCTTGGAGTATGTTTCTATAAGCTTGGCACATCTAGCCACTGGGATTTTTGGCCATTCTTCAAGGCAAAACTGCTCCAGCTCCTTCAAGTTGGATGGGTTCCGCTGGTGTACAGCAATCTTTAAGTCATACCACAGATTCTCAATTGGATTGAGGTCTGGGCTTTGACTAGGCCATTCCAAGACATTTTAATGTTTCCCCTTAAACCACTTGAGTGTTGCTTTAGCAGTATGCTTAGGGTCATTGTCCTGCTGGAAGATGAACCTCCGTCCCAGCTGTGTACGGTGTGTGTGTGTGTGTGAGCATGCATACATTTCTATAAAGATAGTAGTGGAAAAAATACAGTACTTAAAGACTACCTTCACCGCTGGAACAACTACTGTGTCTCACTAACAGTTGCTATAAATCCAACCATTTACAGATTGGATTAGTATTAAAAAATTTATGTTTCTTATCTTTGTAGCAAAGAAAACACAGATATTGAAACAAACAATTTAAAAAATCAATCTGCAACAGAGGCCCCTCCCACATCTGGGGATAACTTCATAGGCCAGCAGCATACCACCCTGCATCCCACTGCTGACTTACCTCCGAAGCTAAGCAGGGTTGTTCCTGGTCGGCCCTTGGATGGGAGACCAGATGCTGCTGGAAGTGGTGTTGGAGGGCCAGTAGGAGGCACTCTTTCCTCTGGTCTAAAAATAATTATCACACTGCCCCAGGCAGTGATTGGGGACATTGCCCTGTGTAGGGTGCTGTCTTTTGGATGGGACGTTAAACGGGTGTCCTGACTCTCTGTGGTCACCAAAGATCACATGGCACTTATCGTAACAGTAGGGGTGTTAACCCCTGTGTCCTGTCTAAATTCCCAATCTGGCCCTCATACCATTAAGGCCACCTAATCATCCCCAGCTTCCAATTGGCTCATTCATCCCCCCTCCTCTCCCCTGTAACTTTTCGCCAGGTCGTTGCTGTAAATGAGAATGTGTTCTCAGTCAACTGACCTGGTAAAATAAGGGTTAAATTAAAAAAGTTAAAGAAAATACAGAAGTGAGGCTGAATGTGTTTTTCACATACACTGTAGTCTAATCAACCCCCTCTCTACACTGTAGTCTAATCAACCCCCTCTCTACACTGTAGTCTAATCAACCCCCTCTCTACACTGTAGTCTAATCAACCCCCCTCTCTACACTGCAGTCTAATCAACCCCCTCTCTACACTGTAGTCTAATCAACCCCCTCTCTACACTGTAGTCTAATCAACCCCCTCTACACTGCAGTCTAATCAACCCCCTCTCTACACTGCAGTCTAATCAACCCCCTCTCTACACTGTAGTCTAATCAACCCCCTCTACACTGCAGTCTAATCAACCCCCTCTACACTGTAGTCTAATCAACCCCCTCTCTACACTGTAGTCTAATCAACCCCCTCTACACTGCAGTCTAATCAACCCCCTCTACACTGTAGTCTAATCAACCCCCTCTCTACACTGCAGTCTAATCAACCCCCTCTCTACACTGCAGTCTAATCAACCCCCTCTCTACACTGTAGTCTAATCAACCCCCTCTACACTGCAGTCTAATCAACCCCCTCTACACTGTAGTCTAATCAACCCCCTCTCTACACTGCAGTCTAATCAACCCCCTCTCTACACTGTAGTCTAATCAACCCCCTCTACACTGCAGTCTAATCAACCCCCTCTCTACACTGCAGTCTAATCAACCCTCTCTACACTGCAGTCTAATCAACCCCATCTCTACAGATTAGTGTGTGTTCTTCACATACACTGTAGTCTAATCAACCCCCTCTCTACAGATGAGTGTATGTCTGTACTGTACACCGCAGTCTAATCAACCCCCTCTCTACAGATTAGTGTGTGTCTGTACTGTACACAGCAGTCTAATCAACCCCCTCTCTACAGATGAGTGTGTCTGTACTGTACACAGCAGTCTAATCAACCCCCTCTCTACAGATGAGTGTGTCTGTACTGTACACTGCAGTCTAATCAACCCCCTCTCTACAGATGAGTGTGTCTGTACTGTACACAGCAGTCTAATCAACCCCCTCTCTACAGATTAGTGTGTCTGTACTGTACACAGCAGTCTAATCAACCCCCTCTCTACAGATTAGTGTGTGTCTGTACTGTACACAGCAGTCTAATCAACCCCATCTCTACAGATTAGTGCGTGTTCTTCACATACACTGTAGTCTAATCAACCCCCTCTCTACAGATTAGTGTGTCTGTACTGTACACAGCAGTCTAATCAACCCCCTCTCTACAGATTAGTGCGTGTTCTTCACATACACTGTAGTCTAATCAACCCCTCTCTACAGATTAGTGTCTGTACTGTACACAGCAGTCTAATCAACCCCCTCTCTACAGATTAGTGTGTCTGTACTGTACACTGCAGTCTAATCAACCCCCTCTCTACAGATTAGTGTGTGTCTGTATACGAGTGCGTTTGTTACGAGAATTATTTTTAATCACAGACAGGGTCTCACTCCATATCAAGTGACAGTATTAATGTCTCTGTGCAGAAATCTTATTAACATGACTTGATGCAGTGAATATTAATTCCACAGTGGCTTTTCAACCTCCGTTAATGTTTTTGACGTTAACATTTGTTTCTCTCTTTCTCTCTCTCTCTCTCTCTCTCTCTCTCTCTCTCTCTCTCTCTCTCTCTCTCTCTCTCTCTCTCTCTCTCTCTCTCTCTCTCTCTCTCTCTCTCTCTCTCTCTCTCTCTCTCTCTTTCTCTTTCTCTCTCTCTCTCTCTCTCAGGGATTCGGAGGGTCGTAAACTGTGTAAGAAAGTGAAGGTCGATCCCAGCTCTAAAAGTGGTGGCGCAGATCTCCTGCATTATAAGTGAGTATCTCAATTGTAACATGTACCTCATTGTTTTACTGTATGTGGCTTAGAAGTGTTGACACCTGTCAGAAAATAATGACATGTACGAATGTTCTCTAGGAAGTCATGCAAGGCCATGATAAACAAAAAGTAACCTACTACTTCTCTTTACTGATTGAACAATGTGCTTGTCTCTTGCAGAGATGGGACGTTCCATACAGAGTACAACAGACCTGCTACATACAAGGTCATTACTGACTCACTTATTCTCCCTCAGTAATAATAATAATAATAATAATAATAATAATAATATGCCATTTAGCAGACGCTTTTATCCAAAGCGACTTACAGTCATGTCCCCCAAGGTCTCAATCAACAGTAATTATTTCAGTGACATCTGCTTTTCCTTGTTTGTGTTGGTCAACAATACAGTAATTGATATGAAAACGATGCAATTATTCGAGTGACATCTTTGTTTCCTGGTTAAATGAATGGGAGTTCATTGTCTCTTACTATCTCTGTTTCTGTATATCACCATGGTTCTCTTCCTACATGATGATGCCAATTGGACGGACATGTGGTTAGTCAAGACTTGATAATCCAATGGGTTTATGAGTGCTTTATAATCAGAGCGCTGGCATGAGAGTGGCTGGAGTAATGGAGTGTTCTGCTCTGGAGTAGATCTGATGTCTCTCTGGCCTGGCTGGTCCAGCCCATTGGCAGGGGATGAGCCTGTGAGCACATCAATACTGATGGACTTTAAGAAAGCTTTCTTGTCATCATAATGTAAAGAGTCTCCTCCTTCCAAACTCAACATTACTGGTCATTTATCAGTCTGGCTACAGGTCTTGTATTAATGGTACTGTCTGCACAATTAGGTCTGACCTAACATGGCTTTGATAGACCTCTGTAAGTATGTTAATATTAGCCTAGTTGGTAATAAGGTAAAACGTGTAATAATCTCACTAAGGTATTTACACTGCTCAAAAAAATAAAGGGAACACTAAAATAACACATCCTAGATCTGAATAAATGAAATAATATTATTAAATACTTTTTTGTTTACATAGTTGAATGTGCTGACAACAAAATTACACAAAAATTATCAATGGAAATCAAATTTATCAACCCATGGAGGTCTGGATTTGGAGTCACCCTCAAAATTAAAGTGGAAAACCACACTACAGGCTGATCCAACTTTGATGTAATGTCCTTAAAACAAGTCAAAATGAGGCTCAGTAGTGTGTGTGGCCTCCACGTGCCTGTATGACCTCCCTACAACGCCTGGGCATGCTCCTGATGAGGTGGCGGATGGTCTCCTGAGGGATCTCCTCCCAGACCTGGACTAAAGCATCCGCCAACTCCTGGACAGTCTGTGGTGCAACGTGGCGTTGGTGGATGGAGCGAGACATGATGTCCCAGATGTGCTCAATTGGATTCAGGTCTGGGGAACGGGCAGGCCAGTCCATAGCATCAATGCCTTCCTCTTGCAGGAACTGCTGACACACTCCAGCCACATGAGGTCTAGCATTGTCTTGCATTAGGAGGAACCCAGGGCCAATCGCACCAGCATATGGTCTCACAAGGGGTCTGAGGATCTCATCTCGGTACCTAATGGCAGTCAGGCTACCTCTGGCGAGCACATGGAGGGCTGTGCGGCCCCCCAAAGAAATGCCACCCCACACCATGACTGACCCACCGCCAAACTGGTCATGCTGGAGGATGTTGCAGGCAGCAGAACGTTCTCCACGGCGTCTCCAGACTCTGTCACGTCTGTCACATGTGCTCAGTGTGAACCTGCTTTCATCTGTGAAGAGCACAGGGCGCCAGTGGCGAATTTGCCAATCTTGGTGTTCTCTGGCAAATGCCAAACGTCCTGCACGGTGTTGGGCTGTAAGCACAACCCCCACCTGTGGACGTCGGGCCCTCATAGCACCCTCATGGAGTCTGTTTCTGACCGTTTGAGCAGACACATGCATTTGTGGCCTACTGGAGGTCATTTTGCAGGGCTCTGGCAGTGCTCCTCCTTGCACAAAGGCGGCGGTAGCAGTCCTGCTGCTGGGTTGTTGCCCTCCTACGGCCTCCTCCACGTCTCCTGATGTACTGGCCTGTCTCCTGGTAGCGCCTCCATGCTCTGGACACTACGCTGACAGACACAGCAAACCTTCTTGCCACAGCTCGCATTGATGTGCCATCCTGGATGAGCTGCACTACCTGAGCCACTTGTGTGGGTTGTAGACTCCGTCTCATGCTACCACTAGAGTGAAAGCACCGCCAGCATTCAAAAATGACCAAAACATCAGCCAGGAAGCATAGGAACTGAGAAGTGGTCTGTGGACACCACCTGCAAAACCAGTCCTTTATTGGGGGTGTCTTGCTAATTGCCTATAATTTCCACCTGTTGTCTATTCCATTTGCACAACAGCATGTGAAATGTATTGGCAATCAGTGTTGCTTCCTAAGTGGACAGTTTGATTTCACAGAAGTGTGATTGACTTGGAGTTACATTGTGTTGTTTAAGTGTTCCCTTTATTTTTTTTGAACAGTGTATATAAGTCATATTCTTCAGAATCAAGGGATGCATTTCATTAATTGAAATGGAGAAAACCATTGAAATGATAAGAAGTTAGTTTATGTCTGAGCAGAACAGAAAGGGAGCAGTGTTTTAGTTAGGGGTGACTGTTTCCCGTCCTACCGTCTGTTGTCTTTTAAAGGCATACGGCTCTTCATTATCAAACTCATTATCAACAGTTCACGTGGGGAAATTGCTTACATGGTTACTTTGCATTGGATGGCTGAATGGGAGAAGACTGAGATGGAAGGTTATACCATCAGCAATCTGTTAGACTAGAACCTTCTCTCCTATTTTAAATTACAACTGGGGATTTTTTTTGATTTTTTATGATGTGGAATTATGTCTGTGTTTAGCACTATTATGTCTAGAATCTAGAGGGTGAACATCACTTTTAGTTGTTACAGAATGATAATGATTGTTTTGACTCCCTCTGTCTTGAGTCTCACTCTCTTCTTCTCTCCTGCCCTCCAGTCCATGGTGGCGTTTTTAAAAGACCCTACGGGAGCCCCCCTCTGGGAGGAGAACCCAGAAGCTAAAGATGTTGTTCATGTAGAAACTGAGAAAGTAAGTACAGAAATAACATGTTGTCTTACAACAAAGTGCATCTGTATTATGTGCGTTTCCTGGCACAATGTTGACTTCCTTTCAGTTTATAACAACCGTTCATAACAACCCACTGACAAATGCCCTAACTTCTCATCAAAGGATAGAGTGGACTCCTGCTACTAAGTTTGATCACCTTGATACATTCCAAGCTGACAACACATGTCAACCTAAAAAAGACAACACAAAGCAATAGACTGGCCAGGGGATCATCAGAAAGCTGAAAAGCTCTACAGTTCACGTCAGTTGAGTTCAAACACAGTCTACTAAGGGAGAGTTGGTCTGACTGCAGTCAGCACTCTCAGACACAGCTTTCCAACAGCGAGGCCGACATGCCGTCAGAACCCAGCTCTGCACACAAATGACACACACACATCCACACACACCTTTGAACAGTGTTTTGATCAGCTAACATTCCGTTTTATCCTATATTTTTTACTCGTCTAATTCATGGCGTATCATGCCTGGGGGGTGTTGAGTGGTGTAGACGTGTCAACAACTTCTGCTGAATGAGACTTTCAGGAAGTGAGGCAGGTGATGAGGAGTGAAGGATGAATAAAGCATTAGGTGAAGAGAAGAGCCCACCCTCTGAGTGCAAATTGGTCTCTCTCCATCAAAAGGCATCTTCAAAAACATGTCTACTTCTGATGATGTAGTGATGAGCACGTTTGACAGCAACTAACTGTTGTCTTGAAGTTACTCTCATGATGACTCTGGTCACTTAGGTACAGGTACTTAAAGGAAAATACAACTCAATCTATCTTTTGGTATACGTTTCATTAGTTCACTGTTGATACAGTCCCAAAATGTTTTGCATGTCAGAAATCAAGTTTTCAAGATATAGAACTTTCAAAATACAGAAAGTGTCACAGTATAATGCGTTTTGCATCGTTATATCAACAGTGGACTAATGAAACAAATACCAAAAGATAGTTTTTGATTGGCGTTTTCCTTCAAGTGATACATATGAAGAGCCAAAGAGAGATGGACAGAAGAGAGATGGACAGTGTACCTCAGTGTTGTCCACCCACTGCTCCTAATATATATGTTGATTAGTCAGCCTTCACAACTCTCCTTTGGGAGGAGTAAATTATCCCTTTCAAAGCACATGGAGGAGGAGGTCAGAGGTCAGAGACCTTGGAAGAGGATGTGAAGAATTGAGGAAACAAGGACGGGAAGAATCGGGGAGAATCTCAATTGCATACTCCTCTCTCCTCGCCTCCTCAAACCCCATTGGTGGAGAAGGTCAGAGAGGATGGACCTCTGAAATGCATGAGGGGGAGTGAACAAGTGTAAACATTTGGAGAAGGACAGAGAATCAGAACGCAGCCCTTGGGAGAATCTCAATTGCATATACTCCTCGCGTCCTCTCTCCACCTCCTTCTCAATAGCCATTGGATTGGTTCAAGTATTCCTCACACCAGTCCATTCCTTTTAAATCCATGAGGGGGAGTGTACAAGTGCACACTTCAGGAGTAGGGTAGAGAATCCAAGGTTTTGACAGCTTGTACACTTTTCAGGCAGAGCTATTGTGCAACAACCTACTGAGTTTTCTCACTTCATTCTACAGTAGATCTCCTTTTTCCTCACAGGTCTTCTCTCTTCTCCTTTCTCTTTAAGGACTTCAGGAAGCTTGTAAAGAGGGAGGAGAGGCCAATCCTCATGATGTTCTACGCCCCATGTGAGGAGTCACACACACACACACAGACTCCTAATATAATTTGTTTACCTCTTGATAAGAACTCCTACCGAAGCAATTTAGAGAAGTCGGGATAAGAGTAAATAGCTTCTATTGGTAGATAATCTTTAATGACTTGCATAGAATATACAGCACGTCATCAGAAGACTCTTTGAAGATGGGAAATGAAACTTAGGGTGCATCCCAAATGGTACCCTATGCCCTGCATAGTGCACTACTTTTGACCAGAGTCCTATGGGTCCTGGTCAAAAGTACTCTGCCATTCTGGCTTCTCATTGATTTATCCTATTCCCCTTACTACCAGACTCTGCCATTCTGGCTTCTCATTGATTTATCCTATTCCCTTATTACCAGACTCTGCCATTCTGGCTTCTCATTGATTTATCCTATTCCCTTATTACCAGACTCTGCCATTCTGGCTTCTCATTGATTTATCCTATTCCCCTTACTACCAGACTCTGCCATTCTGGCTTCTCATTGATTTATCCTATTCCCCTTACTACCAGACTCTGCCATTCTGGCTTCTCATTGATTTTGATAATCAGGTATTTATTGAATAAAATAATTCATGAAATGTGCAACCACGTTCCTCCGGCCAAGTTGGAAGCTCTAGATAGTTTTCTTTTTACGTTAAACTTTACAATTTATATCCAGCCTTTTCATTAAAATGCATGGTTTTTATAGCATTTCGCTGGAGAGGATTAATACTTCACGATGGGCCATTTCTAGTTGTATAACGGAAAAGCACTGTGTCCTTGGAATGAATGGTCATGTTGCAGTAGTTTGTTCTTTCAATCGTTATTGGTTGTATAATCTAGATACATCATGCACTACAAAGTTCTATTCATATTCTATTGGTCCCTTGATAGAATGATAAAACAATGGAAATCTTCTTGTTTAGTATGTTGATTGAGAGCGACTGAGTGATGAGTCGGTGTGCTTCTGTAACGTCTCATGTTCTTCCTGTTACAGGGTGTGGTGTCTGCAAGAGGATGCAGCCCGTATTTCAACAGGCAGCTACAGAGACCAAGGGTCAATTTGTAAGTAAAATCTTCTCACATTGTCATTGCATAAAATCCTAACACTCTGTCGCCTGCTTTGTCTCTAAGTGTGCTTTTGGGTTAGTTGTCTAGTGGTTAAGTCCCAAAACATTCCCATTCTCAGTTCAAATCTGTTCATCAGGTCAAATTAATAATCCTATTAAATTGCTTGCCGTGCTAGATCATACGATATACCCAGTCCATCCCTCTCCTTGATATAAATGTATTATGAATGCACTGAAGATCTAATTTAACCATGATCACTTAATAGTTCAAGTTGCGCTATGCGGAAATCGCTCCGCCATTTCCTGGTTGCTAAAACTCTAATAGTTCGCCTAATTTCAGTTTATGTGACAAAATAGGCTAGTATAGTGTAGAGAATCATTGTACCATCTAAACCGATGTGAAATATATTTTCCATAACCAAGAATATTGTTGTTTCAGCTGTTTGAAGCTGGTGTACAATACCGAAAGTATAGACGCAAAAACAAAACTGAATAACGGGAAGCATAGAAATAGCGCACATAGAACAAATCTAGCGCGTCTTTGACTTGCTTTCAAGTAGAATGATAGATCTATAACTCATATTTCTATGTGAATTTTGGTCGGGTCACCCAAAAAGTTACATATTGCCACTTTAGTATCCCCACAGCCACAATTATGGGATCATCTCCCTGCAGTTGAAGTCTCCAGTCTCTGTATGGGTTATATACCAGTTTAGACTGCAGATCATTTGTGTTTGTTGCCTGGTTTCCTCTCCCTACCTCCACCACAAACACATACACTGAAAACAAAATACAAATAGTACAATGGAAGTCTTAAAGCAGCAATCTGCGGTTTGAAGAATAACCAAGGTCAACCCCACCAATGATTTGGTAGAAAGCTGAGGGATGGGGCTAGAGAAATGTAACCACTCTCCAATTTGCAGCCAGAGCTATGGATGCAAGGACTGACCATCCATGATATCAAGATTATAGTTTAACCATGTTTTGAGGCTATACAGTGTTTGTTTACATTTACATTGTTTACAAACAGAGGAGTTAAAACAAGCTTATATGTTGGGTTCTGATGGGGTACGACAGTTGAAGTAAGCTCAAGCTCAAGTTATTTTATTCAATAATTGGTTTAATTGTTTTTAAAGTCTAAAAATGAATGTAGCAACTGCAACAGATTGCCCCTTTTTAAAAACAGGTTACAGATGAGATTTCAACGCTAGATGGAGTTTGGTTAAAGTAAAACACCTCTAGCTCAACAACAAGAAAGTAGACTAGAGAGTCAACCAATGATCAATATCACACAGGAGAAACCCTCATGTGACCACCTAGGAAAACAAAGACAGCGTGTTCATAACAAACACTCATCTTCAAGCACAGAAGAGGCATAGTATAGTAGAGACACTCTGAGGGAAGAAAATAAACCCGGCTACCGCTTAGAAACACACCTACTGTAGCTGCATCTTTCTGTTAGGGAAAACAATGGAATTGCTCCATGTGTGTTTGCCTCATATGGAGCAGCATGGAAAGGAATGGGACCTCATTTAAGGTGTTTTTGTTTGCATCCCAAATGCCACCCTATTCCCTATCCACCCTATTCCTTATCCACCCTATTCCCTATATTCCCTTTTTTAGTAGTGCACTATATAGGGAATAGGGTGTAATTTGGGACACATCCTTTGTCTGATTTCAGCTAGGCTGGCTGATGACTGAATAAATAAGCCTCTCGTTTAGAGATTTGCATAATGGGTCCATTTAGCTCTCTTGTACACACATTTGGAGTGTTCTGTTTTGGCTCTGCAAGGTGTGTGTGTGGTGTGTATGAGGACCTGATAGCAGAAGGAAGTAATAGATTTGGGAGCATAAGCGACAGTCAGCCAAGTCATCCAACACATTTTCCACCGTATCGTCACAGGTGAAGGAAGAGGAGGAGATTTTTCTCAAAGTTTATTTAAGTCTTCAAAAAATAATAAGAGCGTACAAATCAAGTCGACACCAAAGTCATGAAACATTCACATTATGAAGGTAGGGAACCTCACAGATTGAAATTGATTTGACAGATGCTTTGAGCTTTTTGAATTGCCCTTTGAAAAGCCAACCAAGATAGATAGAACAAATTACTATGCAAAGTTCATTGTCCCCTTCGTCATACATCCTGTTTTCATGTCTCGTTCTGTTTACATGGTTTCCCCTCATTTGAGTCTCCTTTGAGTCATTCATCTTCATTTAGTGGAGCTTTTTTTGGTGCTTCTCTAATGAACTAACCTGTTGTGATGTGATGCTTTCAAATAAATTCTGTGTGCGTGTGCTCTCTGTGTGTCTGGTCTCTAGGTGTTGGCTGGGATGAACGTGCACCCAGCCGAGTTTGACGGCCTCAAGCAGGAGTACAACGTCAAAGGCTACCCCACCTTCTGTTACTTTGAGTGAGTCTCATCTCGCTCATCCGTCTTACTTTAAGCTACACACACACACACACAACTCACAATATCGTACTTTTTGGAGAAATGTCCTCAGGTCTGATGAAACAAAAATAGAACTGTTTGGCCATAATGACCATCGTTATGTTTGGAGGAAAAAGCAACATCTCAAGACATCAGTCAGGAAGTTAAAACTTGGTCGCAAATGGGTCTTCCAAATGGACAATGACCCCAAGCATACTTCCAAAGTTGTGGCAAAATGGCTTAAGGACAACAAAGTCAAGGTATTGGAGTGGCCATCACAAAGCCCTGACCTCAATTCTATAGAACATTTGTGGGCAGAACTGAAAAAGCATGTGCGAGCAAGGAGGCCTATAAACCTGACTCAGTTACACCAGCTCTGTCAGGAGGAATGGGCCGAAATTCACCCAACTTATGTTCCCAGATCCCTACAGATCAGTGACGGTTACAAAAGACCATGATCTGCAGGCATTAGGTTCAGCTGGGGCAGCTAGTGCTAGTCCTACTGCTCACCACCGCCACCGATTCGTTTCAGTCTCGGGACACATGCAGGAGATCAGGGAAGATGAAGTTAGTACATGAGGATCTGTTTCCGTCTGGGAAGACCCCCCCAAGATATGTTATTTTACAAGATGTGCTCTAATTATTGGTTGGCTACATTTTAGGAAGAGGAAACCTAGGCATGTTAATATATTGTTTTTAGCTTTTTTTCACAACATTTCCTTTGTTTCCTTTCCACTTTCCGCAACAGTGACTCAGCTCTCTCTGATGTACTGTAAATCTCTGATGTACTGTATTTGTCTGATGTACTGTAAATCTCTGATGTACTGTATATATTTCTGAGGAAACTGTATATCCTCTGTGGGACGGCTGGTAGCCTAGCGGTTAGAGAGGCAAGCCAGCGACCAGAGGGTTGCCAGTTCGAATCCCTTGTCCGACGGGAAAAACCTGTCGGGAAGTGAGCTGGCAATCGAAGGGTTGCTGGTATCAAGTCCTAGATGCCATTGCCTACCGTTGTGCCCCCCCACAACAACAGCTCCCCGGACCTCTCCAAAAAAAGCTGTGTATATGTGTCTTTCGTAGGGATTGAGATAAAAGCGGAAGTCAAATTTCGGTTGGACCTTTTGTGCAATTGACCAATAAAGTGATCTGAATCTTAATAAAATGCACTTTCATAGAGATCACCTCTTTCAGTGTTGTCAAAAGTAGGTTCCATTGGGGCCTCCCGAGTGGTGCAGCGGTCTAAGTTCGATCCCAGGCTGTGTCGCAGCCGACCGCGACCGGGAGACCCATGAGGCAGCGCCCAATTGGCCCAGCGTCGTCCTGGTTAGGGGAGGGTTTGTCCTTGTCCCATCGCGCTCTAGCGACTCCTTGTGGCGGGCCGGGTGCATGCACGCTGACTTCAGTCGCCAGATGTACAGTGTTTCCTCTGACACATTGGTGCGGCTGGCTTCCGGGTTAAGCGAGCAGTGTGTCAAGAAGCAGTGCGGCTTGGCAGGGTCGTGTTTCGGAGGACACATGGCTCCTGACCTTCGTACGGGAGTTGCAGCGAAGGGACAAGACTGTAACTACCAATTTGGATATCACGAAAAAGGGGTAAAAAGTACAACAAAATAAAAATAAAACAAGTCGGTTACAGTAGGTTCCATAGTTCTTAGAATCAGAACTCCGAACGTTGTGCAACACACGACATGGATTAGTGGGTTTTCTAGATATAGTAATTCCTCTGGGTCATTCTGTAGATGTTTTATAGCTTTCTCTGTCGCTCTCTCCCTCGCGCTCTCCCTCTCTCTACCCCTCCCTCTCTATTTATTTCTCTCTCTCTGTTCTGTTTCTCTGTCTGTTCTGTTTCTCTCTCTCTGTTCTGTTTCTCTCTGTCTTTAGGAAGGGGAAGTTCCTGCACCACTATGAAAACTACGGAGGTACAGCCAAGGACATCGCTGACTGGATGAAGAAGTGAGCGTTTAACCATTTCCTTCCTGCCTTCCTTCTGACTCTATCACTTTCCCCTTGTAAAATAGAGTCAGGAGATGTTCCTGATCACTGGTTTGGGACCTGATGTCGGAAAAGCTCTGTGGCCTATTCATGTTCCTGTTGGGCTCAGTTGGTGTTAGCAAGGCCAAGGCAAGGCCATTGCCACTGCCACATGCATATACAAAAAATGTGTACTGTAGTGTAACCCGCTTTAGATAAACGTGTCATATTACTCCTGCGTGGAGAGTGCGTCAAAATCCCCCGGGGTGCTCACCCCTTAATGTCCCCATTCACTCTACTCCCGGTTGGCTCTCTCACACTCATTCAACTGTTCACCATGCTCTAGTCTATTGAAAGTGCACAGAACAGATTTCACAGCTATTGCAGGAAACACAGAGAGAGAGGAAACATTGTTATATGGGAACAGGAACAATGCCTCTAAGGTCGGAGAACACAGACCGTTTGAGTCTCGAGTGGCTCTCGCAGATGCTTCAAGGCATGACTGCTTTCCTCTCCGTGGAGTGTACTAACCACTTCGGAGACAATCCCACGGTATAGACCCATAACACGTACACAAACTCTCACACACACACGCACACACACACACACTCGCACAAACACGCACACACACACACACACACCAAGCATCTGTTCGAAGTGGTCCTGACTCAGACGCTTTCTCCAGGGCCCTGTCCAGTCCGACCCGCTAGGAGACCCGGTAGGAGACCCGCTAGGAGACCTGTAGTACTAATAGTTAATGATTAGGAAGGTAACGATTCACCGATATGCATCGGTCCCGATTCAAACGTTATGTCTGCATCGGTCCGCAGACCCCAAACCGATCCAAATGTAGCATGCATCAGTCAGAAAATCGATTCAAATGTTACGAATCTGCGATTAACTTTTTTTGTTGTTGCTCATATTGCTTTCTTTCTACCTTCCAAAAATACCTCTAATCTTTTGTCAACTGATGCGTCCTTTCGTTCAGTGTTGAACTAAGCATGTAACTGTGTTGACAGTCATTGAACTACAAGTAATTTTGCATGCCAAACAACTCCAGGGAATATCAATAGCCTAGTCAAACTGCGCACTGTGCCCAGCTTCGCTCGCTGATCTTGCACATCTGTGCGGCACCTTCAGCATTCAAATGCTAAATTGCCGATATTAAGCTTTATTAGTTGTGTGACAACGTATGTAATTTGCTAGGCTATTGCTATCTACAATATGTGCTGTTGAAAATGTGTGTTTTACCTAAATAAAAGTAAGCTACTGGAGACAGCTCTCATCTGGCTATAGGCTACAGGCTACCTGCTGAACGGGGCGTACAATAGATTTTATTCTGATTGTTCCGGTTCACCATCAGCAATAGTTTTGGTAGTTTTGCTTTAAACAATCAGTGTATATGGTCATTTTTTTGTATATACAGGGTAAAGTCGATCATTTGATAACAAGGATAGTCATCATTTTGCGAGGCGCACTACATGGCCAAAGCGGGAAGAGAAAAGCTCACTAAAAATGTCCAAACGGTCAAATTATTCGATTTTGAGATGGGGGTGAAATCCACATTCGTGCTATATCTATTAATTGGCTATGTCATAGCTAATTTGTACACAATAAATATAAAGCTATATATACATTGGCAATGTCACAGTAAATATTAATACATTACTAGCTCAAACACTTAATCTGCAAAAACGATAAGTTAATTAGTGGGTGATGGTGATTTCAGAACCATAGTGGGTGGACAGAAAAACAGGCTACACTGGATGGTGTGTGTGTGTGTGTGTGTGTGTGTGTGTGTGTGTGTGTGTGTGTGTGTGTGTGTGTGTGTGTGTGTGTGTGTGTGTGTGTGTGTGTGTGTGTGGGGCTCTACTTGGTCTTGGCAGTGCTAGGGAGGGCTCTGTCATACGGGTGTGACCACTACAGGCCAGATGTAGCTGATGTGAGGTGGAGTATGAGCTATAGCTAGGTCTGCCTCCATAACAGACATGCTTTAACTCACTTCTCTGCTCTTTTAAATGTCTCTCCTCCCTTCTCTCTCTCTCTCCCCCTTTCCCTTATAGCTTTCCCCCTCTCACTTTCACTCCCACCCCACCCCCCTCTCACCTGTCTCTCTCTCCCCCTCCAGTCCCCAGCCCCCCCAGCCGAAGGCCCCAGAGGTCCAATGGTCGGAGACTGACTCCCCCGTCTTCCACCTGACTGATGACTCCTTCGATGGGTTCCTGGAGGAACACCCGTCTGCCCTGGTCATGTTCTATGCCCCGTGTAAGTAACACACACAAATACACACAATGAGTAGCCTATCATATACACACACACTCTCTCACACACTCAGGGGAACAGGCTATGATGACATCATAAGGCTACTTATGCAATAGATTGCTATTGTTACAAAGACATTATTAAAGTGCCACAGTTAAAATCTTTAGTTGGTTCGATTTCCATTTCAAAACCGTTCTCAGCTTCTTCCAAAACGAATGTGATCTCTGTGAGGAGAGAAGCAGGGAAATGTCAGGGGGATGTTTTGACAGAGTTGAAAAGTAGTGCTGCTGTCAAAACGCACTGTATCACTTCAAAAGCATGCAAATGCATGCACATATCGAAACGCATTTTGGAATGCAACATTACATGCACTGTTACACTCTGAATCTGTATGAAGACACACCTCCCGTGTCACCCTCCCTGGGACCCACCTGTAGTAAATAAAGGGCCATGGCTCACTGGGGGTAAAAGTCCCATTATAAGGCTCCTTGTTACAACACATGAGGCTGCTAGACCAACCCACCCTCGCCACATGGTGCCCTGCCTCTCACAATGGGCAGCCTTGCTGACACTCTTCACTGGGCACTGCTGTGGCCACTCACTGAGAAGCCCAAGCCAAGAGCAGTCAGCTGATATAAGCATATCAGGCATTTCAGCAGCTTGTACACATTCACACACACACACAAGCCCTCCCTAGCACTGCCAAGACCAAATGAAGACACACACACACTGCAGTTTCTTAATGGGCCACCTGTCATTGTGGGAGTAATGGCCTCATGGTCAAGAGCATCAGCTTTTATTTTTGTCCAGCTCTTACCGAGATGTTTCCTATCCTATGTCTGCTGCTCCCTCCCTCCCTCCACACTGTGGCTGGTTCAGTTGTCTGTGTGCAGCTGTAGATGCAGTATGTATAGACCCCAAATTAATGTCTGTGAATGGCTGAGGTAAACAAAAGGATCTGGCATATTACCCAGCATCCTCTAGTCTATTCAGACCGGTGATAGAGAGGAGATGCGGCCAGCCGCACACTGAAGCAGCCTTATTTTAATACCCACGAAGCCCTTGTCTCTCCAACTCTCCAACAGAAATAAACACACACACTCCCCTGCTGTGAATCAGCAACATTACATCTAGCTTAACTCCCCTGCTGTGAATCAGCAACATTACATCTAGCTTAACTCTCCTCCTTCCCCAGACACTAAATGAAGGTGATGGCACCAGTAGAGTGGAGATGATGCAGAGGATAGAATAATATACTATTTTATTCCTCTGTCTCCCTCTTTTACACTCCTCTTTTTACAAAAGATTTCTACAAAATATAAAAATGAATACATATTTTGAGTGCAGCAGTGTGTTGTATTAATTTTGAATATATTACAGATGTTGCTGATTAAGGACAGTATTCACAGCTGTTTTTGAATATGGCGGTGTGCCAACTAAAGATCTTGCAGTTGCATCCAACCATGCACAACAATGTGGTATAAGAGGGATACACATACACTCTGCTCTTCAAAGAGCATCGACTACTCTTTACAACAAAACATCTAGTGGATGCTTGGTACAAATATTGAGTTCAGTCTGATAGTTGTTTAAAAATAAGATGCATTGCTGCAGAGCTCGTACATTTTAAAGTTAAACACAGCATTTATTCATGACGCTGGAATTCGGTGTCACAGCCCTGTTGGCAAGCAAGTCAAGCTTACACACACACACACAGTCCACCCAGCTAGTTCTTCCACTGTATGGGAACACTAGTCCTCTCGCCCTCTCACGTCCCCAGCCCTGCTATGTCACTGTGGTCTCTGTTAAACTGTCTTCTCTCCTGTCACACTGGCTACAGGTTGCGCAACGCAATACTAGGAAGGTGTTCTTAAAGTATTGTACACTCAGTGTACATTTTTATATAGTAAAACTGCCAGTGTTAAGTTGAAAACCATTGGGGGGAACCGAGAAGAATTCCCTGCAGTTTATTTTAATGTTACTTGGATGAGACACTACTGAGAATGTAATGTTGTGAATGGCTTGATTCATTCAATTGAGGCACTTGGTTGGTTCTATTAAGGCCATTTACTTATAATGTGATTATGGGTAAGTATGGTGAGAATCCCTAACACTAGCGTTAGCTCATCGTAGCTCGGCTTGTCATGTCTGTTTATGTTCGTTAAGTCATCGTCGCTCAGCTAGTCAGGTCTGTTTGTGTATTCACCTGCAGGGTGTGGCCATTGTAAGAAGATGAAGCCAGAGTATGATGAAGCTGCTGAATACCTCAACAAAGACAAAAATGTAAGTACAATGATGGTGTATGTAACAGGGTGCTTTTGATGCGTGAATGTGTTTGCATGCAACAGAGTGCTTGTGTTATTTCTGTGTGTTTTAAATATATGTGCATACTTATGTTGAAGCCTTGCAACACCACGCTGTGAAACTAATTTATTCCAAACCCAGCTGTGAGGAATGTACTGTCTGAACATCAGAACATAAACCCCACTTGGCCTTGTACTTGGCTGGTGCAGTCGGACACACTGGACTCACTGGCTGCCAGAGCTCCTTATGTGTTTCTGATTAGCAGGGTGTGTCTGTCCTCACCACTATGGTAATGCTGCACTCCCCAGCCCTGAGCCAGAGCCCAGAGCCAATAAAAATCACCAGAGATTGCCTCATGATTGGAGCAATTATCTCATCCCTCCCTGTGCCGTCCCCGTGCAGCGGCCTTCCTGGAGATCTGCAGCTTGGATCCGCTCTGTTCTCCTGTCCTCCCCCCCTTCCCTTCCTCCTCCCCTCCTCTCCTCTCCTCAGCTCCCTGCCCAGACCCAGTGCTTGGAGGTCAATGGGAAGAGCTCCCACATTACCTAATGCGGATGTGCTGCCTGAGGCCTTACTACTTACACCCTGAGCCCAGGAGACCCCTGAAGTCATCTATTTTTCTCCTTCTACTTGTGACTTCTTTATATAGAAGTACATAGAAATGAAAAGGTGTATTTTTCAGTGTTTTTATTCGGCCTGTATTGAAATACCTCGTTATAGAGAGGGGTCAACTGGGGTTTTGGAATTTGGCAGCTATATGAGTAAGTGTTTTTTTTATTTTACCTCTAAAATAATCTTCCAAAAGTGTTTAGAACTTGTTTTTTTAAATCTCTCCTGAAAGTTATTTAGAAGCTGTTGTTTTGTTTGGTGCACTGCAAACTTTGGGGACACACTCTTTACACGCCATTTCTCCCGGTGGGCGGTGCTATATGTCAGTGGGTGTGGGTTTCAAAGTGCAAGTACTGTTCGATGCGCGTCCACGTTCAACCGAAAACCCTCCGCCTGGGACCTCATTCATAAATTAAGCTATAGTGGATTTATACTTTCTAGTTTACAATTGCACTTTTATATTTGTAGATAATTTAGCTTATTTGAGCTAACGTTAGCTACTGTAGCTACCAATTGGCTGGAACAGTTTTCCCAAACATGAACAATGTGTCAAGTTTTGCTTGCTAGCCAACCAACAACGTAAATGCCGCTATCAAGCCAATCTACTAAACTCGCCTGAATGAAATACAGTGGGGAGAACAAGTATTTGATACACTGCCGATTTTGCAGGTTTTCCTACTTACAAAGCATGTAGAGGTCTGTAATTTTTATCATATGTACACTTCAACTGTGTGAGACGGAATCTAAAACAAAAATCCAGAAAATCACATTGTATGATTTTTAAGTAATTCATTTGCATTTTATTGCATGACATAAGTATTTGATCACCTACCAACCAGTAAGAATTCCGGCTCTCACAAACCTGTTAGTTTTTCTTTAAGAAGCCCTCCTGTTCTCCACTCATTACCTGTATTAACTGCACCTGTTTGAACTCGTTACCTGTATAAAAGACACCTGTCCACACACTCAATCAAACAGACTCCAACCTCTCCACAATGGACAAGACAAGAGAGCTGTGTAAGGACTTCAGGGATAAAATTGTAGACCTGCACAAGGCTGGGATGGGCTACAGGACAATAGGCAAGCAGCTTGGTGAGAAGGCAACAACTGTTGGTGCAATTATTAGAAAATGGTTCAAGATGACGGTCAATCACCCTCGGTCTGGGGCTCCATGCAAGATCTCACCTCGTGGGGCATCAATGATCATGAGGAAGGTGAGGGATCAGCCCAGAACTACACGGCAGGACCTGGTCAATGACCTGAAGAAAGCTGGGACCACAGTCTCAAAGAAAACCATTAGTAACACACTACGCCGTCATGGATTAAAATCCTGCAGCGCACGCAAGGTCCCCCTGCTCAAGCCAGTGCATGTCCAGGCCCGTCTGAAGTTTGCCAATGACCATCTGGATGATCCAGAGGAGGAATGGGAGAAGGTCATGTGGTCTGATGAGACAAAAATATAGCTTTTTGGTCTAAACTCCACTCGCCGTGTTTGGAGGAAGAAGAAGGATGAGTACAACCCCAAGAACACCATCCCAACCGTGAAGCATGGAGGTGGAAACATCATTCTTTGGGGATGCTTTTCTGCAAAGGGGACAGGACGACTGCACCGTATTGAGGGGAGGATGGATGGGGCCATGTATCGCGAGATCTTGGCCAACAACCTCCTTCCCTCAGTAAGAGCATTGAAGATGGGTCGTGGCTGGGTCTTCCAGCATGACAACGACCAGAAACACACAGCCAGGGCAACTAAGGAGTGGCTCCGTAAGAAGCATCTCAAGGTCCTGGAGTGGCCTAGCCAGTCTCCAGACCTGAACCCAATAGAACATCTTTGGAGGGAGCTGAAAGTCCGTATTGCCCAGCGACAGCCCCGAAACCTGTAGGATCTGGAGAAGGTCTGTATGGAGGAGTGGGCCAAAATCCCTGCTGCAGTGTGTGCAAACCTGGTCAAGACCTACAGGAAACGTATGATCTCTGTACCAAATATTAAGTTCTGCTTTTCTGATGTATCAAATACTTATGTCATGCAATAAAATGCAAATTAATTACTTAAAAATCATACAATGTGATTTTCTCTCACAGTTGAAGTGTACCTATGATAAAAATTACAGACCTACATGCTTTGTAAGTAGGAAAACCTGCAAAATCGACAGTGTATCAAATACTTGTTCTCCCCACTGTATATGAAACTGATCATGACTAGATTTAATCTCGTTTCACTGCGATTGGTTAGTCAACATGCAATAATACCTGTCTACTGTCAATCCCTGAGATTAATTATTTTCATTGCTGGCTTCAATAAAAACTGTTAATCTGATCAATATTTTTATTTGTTAGAGGGCCTATACATGACGCTAACGTTACCATACTATCCTGGAGGCGTACTTACCCACCCAGGATCATTACTTTTGCGAGTATAATATCTCTCAACTTTAAACAATGTGAAATTTGAATACAAAATCATTTGATTAGCTTTCTTTTCTGCGGCTGCATGAAATGGCAAACATAACGCGAATTCAGCGATTCCATTTGTTTACTTCATCTTTGTGGCTCCCTGATGAAACGGTAACATCCATTACTTAGGTTTAGCCAACCGGTACTCTATGGCTTAGCGGTGTGTTCAATAGATTCCACGATCCGGACTGCTTGGCTCGTTCTCGTCACTGTGCACCCCTGTGCTCCCACTGTGACTTTTATAGCAGAACCACCCACCGGGCGAAATGCGGTGAAAAGAATGCGTCCCGTAAACTCTGTGTGCGCCCACGTTTCTATAGTGGTTTTGCTTTATTCTCACTGAACCCATCAACTATCACTGGGCTGAGTTAGCCTTAAGGGTTGTGATCCAGTCAGAACTAGCTGATCTATGATGTGATGACAGTGTTGTATCCTGACCTGATTCTTCTTGTTGCTTTAGAGCCCTGGAGTTCTGGCAGCCGTGGACACCACCATACACAAGGCAGTGGGAGAGCGCTTCAAGATCTCTGGCTTCCCCACCGTCAAGTACTTTGAGAAGGGAGAGGAGAAGTTTACGCTACCCCACCTCAGGAGTAAGGACAAGATCATAGAGTTTCTACAGAAGTGAGCCATGATCTTTAACTTTTTTCTGACTTTCTATAATCCAGGGTCAACATATCAGCACAGGATTAGTGTTATATGTAGATCAGTGGGCTTCAACTCAGGCAGTGGTGTGTATCATACCTCATCAACATGTCTGGTTGTGTTATACCAGCCCCCAGGCGCCCCCTCCCCCAGAGCAGTCCTGGGAAGACAAGCCGTCCAGCGTCAGCCATCTAGGAATGGAGGACTTCAGGGAAGCGCTGAAGAAGAAGAAGCATGCCCTCGTCATGTTTTACGCACCATGTAAGTGTAACCAGTGGGAATTGAACCCGGGTCTCTCGTTCGCCAACACAACGTCTCAACCATTAGACCAAGTGATCATCCTAAAGGTCTGAGGTTGATAGTTGGGCTGTCAGGTCTCAGGCTGATAGTTGGGCTGTCAGGTCTCAGGCTGGGCTACCTCATCATGAGTTCAGTTCCAAATAACCTCCAGTCACATCACCATTTAAGCACCCTGCCGGCCAGACAACAACAACAACACTGCTCAACTTGTTGACGTCCAATATAACTACATTTGATTTATGATTGATTGGCTTTTTACACCACCAATTTTTGATGACCTATGTTCCCCAGGGAACAAACGGATTTAAGTCAGGTTTTACACCACCAATACATAAATCTAGCCTTTTCTCTGCCAAGATCTGCCATCATCTGGTTTAACTACACCTAAGCTGTGAAGGGACCGGAAAATGACAGAATGCCCAAAATAGACTTGTAGTGCTAGAGGGGGGAAAGTTGTAGATGGCATTGACAGGTCCATCACCCAATACAGCATCTCAATATCCTTTCACTGGGCATACACAGACACACACCCTTCCAGTTGATGCAGGACAGGTTCATGTGATGAACCGACTCACAAGCAGCCCTGAAGTCACTGTCTGATAAGAGCCTTCAAAGACTCTGCACATCACTGCACCTTCCGTCTTCCTCTTAGTTAACATGAAGCAAAACAACTCCTAAATGCCTTTAGTTTTTTTCCTTTACAAGGCAGAACAAGGCAATAACAACCTTCTCTTTTTCTTCCTCTGCTCAAAGGCTGAGTCCCAAATGGCAGCCAACAGGGAGGAAGGAGGGTTCCATTTGGGATGCAGGCAAAGTTGTCTAATCCTCTGTGTAACATCTGCTGATTAGGGGCTTTGAGAGATCAAACTAATCGCTAACACGTGAAGACTCTCTAATCAAATGCCTTCAGATAATATGTTAACTGTTACCTAAAGGAGGTCTTCCGTCTGTCTTCTAAGTTCCAGCCTCCGCTTCGTCAGATCTTCTTCTGAACTAAACTGCCGCCTCTACACATATGTCAGGGAGGGTAACGTTACCTCCACCTATCCCCAGGAAATTCCAGCTAATTAACGTTTATGTTGCACTTCACGAAATGCTTGTTTGTATCGTACCTATTAAGCTAATTAGTGGGGAAAGATTCTAATTTACAACACAAATGCTTAAGGGTGATTTCATTGAGTACCGAAAGCTATATTTGAATTGTCACTTTCAGGTGTGAAGTGTAGACTCAAAATAATTGGTATATTGGAGAGATAACGCACATACAGAGGATATACTATATTTCTGCCACCAATTACAGAAGAAGATTCAACAGATATCACATTCTTCTACTATGAAATGAAAACTGGAAAATCGAAGTAGAACGCTTGCTGTGGCACCCTGTAGTTCTGTTCTTGAATGTCAATGATTACTGTACGTGAAAGGGACTGAGAATTACTGAGGAGGCTTTCACAAGAAAAGGAGAGGGTTTTCATGTGACAGTAATCATTTCTAGTCACTTTTCAGCAGAAACGTTAGCTAAGTGGACAGCTTGTCAGACAGACTGAACCAAACAGGAGGGCTGTGAATGGGTTGGTGGCACACACACACCACTCCTCTCACCTGGTGTGTGTGTGTTCAGGGGGCCGGTGACAGATATGAATCTCCCGAGGAAAGCGCCAGGGAGGTTTCATTTATGACTCCAATAAAGGGATTTATACCTCCCTATAAAATACAAGTGCGCCATTACTAATGTGGGGTAATTCTGAAAGTGACATGCAGGGACAGGGAGTGTGTATGTGTTGCGTGCATTCTTGCATGTGTGTTTTTGTGCTTTTCAGTGTGTGTGAGAGAGCATATGACCATAGATTAGACATTTTGTGTGTTTGAATTACAATTCCTCCTGTTATAATGTAATTGTGTGGTATTAATGTCAGTTGGGGTGAGCCAAAGGTCACATTCTAGTTGGGGTGAAATGCAGTTCACAACATTAAAGGTCAAGGTTATAATACTTCTCTGCTCCCTAACAGGGTGTCCCCACTGCAAGAACGCTGTCCCTCACTTCACCACTGCAGCAGATCTCTTTAAAGAGGATCGCAAGGTGAGCCGTCCTCCAGCCCTTTCATCAATCTCACATCTCTCTCTCTTTTCTCTTTCTCAATGTACTGATGATGATTTGCTCATTTGCACTCCAGTATCTCTATTTGCACATCATCTCTTGCACATCTATCATTCCAGTGTTAATACTAATTGTAATTATTTTGCACTATGGCCTATTTATTGCCTTACCTCCATAACTTGCTACATTTGCACACACTGTATATATATTTTCTATTTTCTGTTGTATTTTTGACTATGTTTTGTTTTACCCCATATGTAACTCTGTGTTGTTTTTATCGCATTGCTTTGCTTTAAAATGAGAACTTGTTCTCAACTTGCTTACCTGGTTAAATAAAGGTGAAATAAAAAACTTAAAAAATCATCTGACACTACTACTCATTTAGATGACCCTCTCAGACACTACTACTCATGTAGATGACTCCTTCCCTCTCCTTTTTCAACTCTAATACCCGCTTACTCCCTGACTCCCTAACTCCCTGACTCCCTGACTCACTCAGTCACTCTTTCCAGTGGTTAACAAGATCCTCCCTAGCTGTCTGACTCATCTCTGTTCTCACTCACACACACTCTCTAACTCAAACTCTGAACAACAGGGGAACGTGCTTTGCTGCACTCTCAGCATAGCATTGTTAATCATCATAACACTCTAAATGACCACAAACACAAAGAAGGTGAAGTGTTGTTGGTATAAATTACTTGAATACATCACACATAATGGTTGCGACACTCTTTCTTAATCTAGCAAAGCTCTTTGGTATTTGGCATGCATATCTTTCATTATTCATTTGGTTGGAATGTGGAAATCAATCTCTGATGCTAACAACATTAGAAACATTTACTAAATCACTGAATGCGTGAGGTAACTCCTTATTCTGGTCTTAATGGTGTACGTATTGATATATCAAGGGAATAGTTGTTGTTCTTGTTCAGAATCAGATCTGCATTGTGCATTCTCAGCCCAGAATGTGTCTGAATGGTGAATCTCTGCTGTGGATATGCACGCAGCCACGCAGCCTAGGTCCAAGAATTTGTGTCTTTATTCTAGACGCACGCAAAGGACCATCACCATCTACTGGCTCTTTGATTATAGCCCAGATCCCATTCACGGGGTGGGGTTGAAACGAGTCACTCTTATGTGTCCGTTCCGTCACTGACACTGTCAATAGTCCAGAGCAGAGTGGGTGTCTGTAACGCTGCTAGGCTTAAGGATCTCCTACCTGTCAACTCTGAGTAATCAACACTGAGAACAGATTCAGATGTCTGCAGGTGGGGTGTGGTGTAGCAACCTCCATTTCACTGTCACGATAAGAGTTTGGGGGAGAAAGCTCTGTGTAGCCAGGGCGGGCAGGAGGCAGGGAGGGATGGTGTTGTTTTATGAGGAGCAGGGATGTCCGATGCACATATCCACAGGAGGGACTTCTCTTAAAAACGTCCCCAGCCAGCCTCCCGAGTAGCGCTGTAGTCTAAGGCACTGCATCACAGTGCTAGCTGTGCCACTCGAGATCCTGGTTCGAGTCCAGGCTCTGTCGCGACTGGGAGACCCATGGGGCGGCGCGAAATTGGCCCAGCGTCATCCAGGTTAGGGGAGGGTTTGGCCAGCAGGGATGTTCTTGTCCCATCGTGCACTAGCAACTCCGGTGGCGGGCCAGGTTCAGTGCACGCTGACACGGTCGCCAGGTGTACGGTGTTTCCTCCGACACATTGGTGCGGTTGGCTTTCGGGTTAAGCGGGCATTGTTTCAAGAAGCAGTGCGGCTCGGCTAGGTTGTGATTCGGAGGATGCACGGCTCTCGACCTTCGCCTCTCCCGAATCCGTACGGGAGTTGCAGCGATGGGACAAGACTGTAACTACCAATTGGATATCATGAAACTGGGGAGAAAAAGGGAGAAGGACAATAAAGAAAGAAAGAAAACGTCCCCAGCTACTTATCATGCTCCTTCTGGTCTCTCTCTATCCCTGGGCAGGGGAGGAGGTAAAGGGGTGACTGGACTGGAGTGAAAGAAGAGCAGCTCATTCAGCCGTGCTCACTATTTCTAGTGTAGGACGACAGTGTAAAGCATAAGCCCCAGTCAGTGTATTGGCACTATGCAGGAGTGGATGTGGATGACAGCATCGCCGGGGACCAGTGTCACCGTACTCGTTAGTATCATGACAAAGAAACAAAACACGGAGTGGATTTAACTTCTTTAGGAAAATGGCCATGATGTTGGAAACAAACAGTGTGACATTTTGACATTTTAGTCATTTAGTAGACGCTCTTATCCAGAGCGATTTACACATTGACAGATTTTTCACTTAGTCAGCTCGGGGGTTCAAACCAGTGACCTTTCGGTTACTGGCCCAACGCTCTAAAATGCTAGGCTACCTGCCGCCCCCGCATTCTATGTTACACGCAGCAGGTTTTTAAAGGACCAAATAGTTTGATCTGCTTCTTGTTTTCATTTTAAGCCATGGTATGGTCACAGCCCTATATCAGTCTATTGGGCAACTTCTCTGCCTCGTTTACCCAAGACAAACACCACCAGCTTAGTTCTGGCTTTGAAGAACACCCCAATTAAACACCACATACAGTATTGTATAAGAAAATAGAGGAAAGGGAAGGAAAGAGAAGTGTAAGTGGGCTATCAGTGTGCATGCAGAGGCTTTGTACAATGCAAGCAATGTTCTTATTTTTGTGATTTAACTGAATGTCAGCATATTCAGTTCTATAAAAAGAGGAGGCCGGCTGGAATCACTCGTATCACAAAAATTGGTGTTGTAATGAGAACACTGTAGCGTAGTGATTCGTGAAGCAGTGAAATTGGCTTTTTGATACATCAGCCTAATAACCTCCTTATGCAGGGTGGATTTTTCTGCTACACACACACGCACTGTCATTAATTAGTACCTCGGGTAGATAGTCCACAAGTGATTTTCCTACTCTGGAAGACACGCTTGTGTAACCTGATGTGAATACTTGCGTTAGCACCCCGAGCTAATGCCTTCGCTTTGGCTCAGCAGGCTGACACAGTCCAATGGCGCACAGAAGACCCAGGTTCGAACCCAGTCAGGCACACATTGCTGCCTGCCTTGTTTAAGCACAATGTGAAGTGTCTCTAAAGCCTTGTTCACACTGCATGCCTTAATGCTCAAATCAGTTTTGTTTTTCTAATCCGTTTTGGAATACTTTGTCCAAACAGCAAGTTACAAGTGACCAAATCGGATTTGTGTGTCTTCAGATTGTAGTAATTTGCTGACATGGCTACGCTAGTTGTCATGGTAATAAGTGTCAACACCACTTGAGGGAAAATAAATCAGATTTGACCGTTAACACAAGTCACCAGGAATCAGATTGTTTATCTGATTTTAAAGCACCTATGAATGTGGTTTGAAATGTGGCTTGAAATATCTGGTTCGTGCTTTTGGGCTGTTCAGACTGCAGGAAAAAAACGGATTTTGAATTGGTTATGCAAAAAAATTGGATTTTAGTCACTTCAAATTGCCAGTGTGAGCAAGGCTTTATAGACTTCCAACTGTCCTCTACACAGTATCTCTCAATGCTCATTGTTGGAGCTCTTGTGTTGTGATCAATGAGATGTTGTTGGAGCTCTTATTAACCAGAGGGGATCAATAACGGCATTGACCACAAACCTTTGAAAAACAATCCTTTTACGACATCATTCTCCTCATGTCAATTTACTGCAACTCTGATTGATCGGACTGGGATGAGTATCAGTGTGTCAGTCTGTTCTACAGTAAGTGATGGTATGGGGAAAAGCTACATACTGCATCAAACGCATCCAGTGTTTCTAAGCAGGTGCTGGAGATCAAAATGTACAGTACCAGTCAAAAGTTTGGACACACCTACTCATTCAAGGGTTTTCTTTATTTGTACTCTAATGAACTTATCCTCTGCAGCAGAGGTAACCCTGGGTCTTCCTTTCCTGTGGTGGTCCTCATGAGAGCCAGTTTCATCATAGCGCTTGATGGTTTTTGCGACTGCACTTGAAGAAACTTTCAAAGTTCTTGAGATTTTCTGGATTGACTGACTTTCATGTCTTAAAGTAATGGACTGTCATTTCTCTTTGCTTATTTGAGCTGTTCTTGCCATAATATGGACTTGGTCTTTTACCAAATAGGGCCATCTTCTGTATACCAACCCTACCTTGTCACAACACAACTGATTGGCTCAAACGCATTAAGAAGGATAGAGATTCCACAAATTAACTTTTAAGAAGGCACACCTGTTAATTGAAATGCATTCTAGGTGACTACCTCATGAAGCTGGTTGAGAGAATGCCAAGAGTGTGCAAAGCTGTCATCAAGGCAAAGGGTGGCTACTTTGAAGAATCTAAAATATATTTTGATTTGTTTAACACGTTTTTGGTTAGTACATGATTCCATATGTGTTATTTCATAGTTTTGTTGTGTTCACTATTATTCTACAATGTAGAAAATAGTAAAAATAAAGAAAAACCCTTGAATGAGTAGGTGTGTCCAAACTTTTGACTGGGACTGTATATATTCATCAAAATGGTCAAAGACACATACTTGTTGTATGTTCCTATGTGTTTTGTTTACAAAGTTTCAACCTTTTCGTCTTAAAACATAATCTAGGTCAGTGGTTCCCAACTCCAGTCCTCGAGTACCTTCCAACAGCACACATTTTTGTTGTAGCCCCAGACAAAAAAACACCTGATTCAGCTCATTGAGGGCCTGATGATTAGTTGAAAGGTTGAATCCAGTGTGCTTGTCCGGGGCTACAATATAAATGTGTACTGTTGGGAGTACTGCAGGACTGGAGTTGGGAAACACTGAGCTAACTTGCAGTGTGCAGACCCAGTATCTTAGGCCTACCTTCTGCTGTAAAATACCCCTTTGATGTTCAAAATAGCAAAAGACAGTATCTCTCTGATCCGGAATTAAAGACTGACCATGTTCCATCTCTGTCAGATAGTGTCATGCCCTGACCTGGAGAGACTGTTATTCTCTACGTAGTTTGGTCAGGGTGTGAAAGTCTAGGTTTTGTATTTCTATGTTTGGCCGGGTGTGGTTCCCAATCAGAGGCAGCTGTCGCTTGTTGTCTCTGATTGGGGATCATACTTAGGCAGCCAGTTTTCCTGCCTGGGTTGTGGGATCTTGTTTGTGTTTGGCTTGTTTGTGTATAGCCTTCCGACGTCACGTTTTGTTGCCTTTTGTTGTTTTGTACGTGTTTATCCAGTTTAATAAACATGTTCGCAAACCACGATGCACCTTGGTCTGACCCGTCTCTCAACGATCGTGACAGATAGCTCATGTTCCCAGGTTCCTTATTGGCATGCTGACACACACAGCAATCTAAGAAATGTTTAACCATTCATAAATAATTGGTCATTTAGCAGACGCTCTTATACAGAGCGACTTACAGGAGCAATCTAGTGGTGCGGGGGCTGTGCTTTGGCAGAGTGGGTGGGGTTATATCCTTCCTGTTTGGCCCTGTCCGGGGGTTTCTTCGGATGGGGCCACAGTGTCTCCGGACCGCTCCTGTCTCAGCCTCCAGTATTTATGCTGCAGTAGTTTATGTGTCGGGGGGCTGGGGTTAGTTGGTTATACCTGGAGTACTTCTCCTGTCTTATCCAGTGTCCTGTGTGAATTTAAGTATGCTCTCTCTAATTCTCTCGTTCTCTCTTTCTCTCTGAGAACCTGAGCCCTAGGACCATACGTCAGGACTACCGGGCATGATGACACCTTGCTGTCCCCAGTCCGCCTGGCCTTGCTGCTATTCCAGTTTCAACTGTTCTGCCTGCGGTTACGAAACCCCTACCTGTCCCAGACCTGCTGTTTTCAACTCTTAATGATCGGCTATGAAAAGCCAACTGAGAGACCTGAGCCCTAGGACCATACGTCGGGACTACCGGCCGTGGTGACTCCTTGCTGTCCCCAGTCCGCCTGGCCTTGCTGCTATTCCAGTTTCAACTGTTCTGCCTGCGGTTATGGAACCCCTACCTGTCCCAGACCTGCTGTTTTCAACTCTTAATGATCGGCTATGAAAAGCCAACTGAGATTTATTCCTGATTATTATTTGACCATGCTTGTCACTTATGAACATTTTTTAACATCTTGGCATGGTTCTGTTATAATCTCCACCCGGCACAGCCAGAAGAGGACTGGCCACCCCTCATAGCCTGGTTCCTCTCTAGGTTTCTTCCTAGGTTTTCGCCTTTCTAGGGAGTTTTTCCTAGCCACCGTGCTTCTACACCTGCATTACTAGCTGTTTGGGGTTTTAGGCTGGGTTTCTGTACAGCACTTCGAGATATTAGCTGATGTAAGAAGGGCTATATAAAATAAAATTGATTGATTGATTGATTAAGTGCCTTGCTCAAGGGCACATCGACAAATGTTTCACCTAGTCGGCTCGGGGATTAGAACCAGCGACCTTTCGGTTACTGGCACAACGCTCTTAACCACTCATCTAACCGTGTATTGACAGTAATGCTGAATCCTTCCATTTATGAGCATGATGACCATGTGTTTTCACTCACTGAACAGAGCATGTTAGACAACGGCTTAATTTAAATAATCTACGGCTTTTTAAATGTCACACAACATGGATGAGATGAGCATTTCATATTGTTATTATGTAGGCTACATGACAGAGGTTTCTCCTGTCTGAGATTGCAACACGTCAAACTGTCAAATTAGTTTTGCCTCACCGAGACGTCAATCATTTACAGATTCAACATATTGGTCCTCAGGAGACTGATGGTGATTACTTAATGGTGACAAGCTTAATGTGCTGCGTTGTGTCCCAAATGACACCCTATTCCCTTTCAAAAGTAGTGCACTACATAGGGAATAGGATGCCATTTGGGACACGGATGCTGACATTTGAGCCATAATAATAAGCCATTTAGCAGACGCTTTTATCCAAAGCGACTTACAGTCATGTGTGCATACATTTTTACGTATGGGTGGTCCCGGGGATCAAACCCACTACCCTGACGTTACAAGCGCCATGCTCTACCAATTGAGCTACAGAGGACCAGCCATCCAAAAGGACAAGCCGAGCAGAGGGAGGGGCTGAGCTATGTATCAGCGAGATGGTATTTACGGCTCATTTGTGCTGGGGGTTTTCTGACTGCCGTGCTGCGACAGCCCCGACATTAATCTCTTTTGTTGTTTTTATGAAGGAGTGATTCGTTTTCTTTTCCCACCAACTCTAAATGGTCTAGCTTGAGAGGAATGTATTAGGTATTTTTCTTAAAGGGTATGTTCAGTATTTTACAACTTAATGTTAGATGGTTCCTCACCCTGACATTTGTCTATGGGACAGGATAAACTGTTTAAATAGCCACTACAAACTTATACCATACAGCTCTGGGTTAAAGGGGAAGTTTGCTATTTTGCTCAGTTGCTAGCTAAAATGGCTAGCTAAAAATCTATTGGAGTGATAAGGCAGGTGAGGAACTATCTAACATTAAGTTGTAAAAATTGAACTTCCACTTTAACCCAGCTAAATCTGAGAATGTGGAGGGAATCAATGCGGACGCAGAACAGCTCAGTCGGTGCCAAAGTAGCCGTGTTGAAAGCATTTACTGTAAATGTTCACTTTAATAATAATAATAATAATATGCCATTTAGCAGACGCTTTTATCCAAAGCGACTTACAGTCATTCGTGCATACATTTTTGTGTATGGGTGGTCCCGGGGATCGAACCCACTACCTTGGCGTTACAAGCGCCGTGCTCTACCAGCTGAGCTACAAAGGACCACTTTCTTGTTGTGAATAACAGTATTTTACAACATGCACCCATTTTACCCTAGTAGTCCAGCGCATATGGCAGATGTTTTCATTTTTTTAAATTAAAACACTTTAGAACAATCACAATGCTTTTAACCGCTCATGAAATTTGTTTAAAATAAATGCAATACAATCCTACACATATCCATGAGGTTCTTATGTAACTGACCATTGTCTAAACTAGTTGTGGTTGCTATTACAGATTGCATTCTATGGATGACAATATCATGTTGATGCTACAGTAAGCTACTATATGCTTTGTCCCTCAGATAGCCTATGCTGCCGTGGACTGCACTAAAGGACCGAACCAAGAGCTGTGCAAGCAGGAGAGTGTGGAGGGCTACCCCACCTTCAACTACTACAACTACGGGAAGTTCGCAGAAAAATACAACGGAGACCGAGGGGTAAGTGACATCTTTAGACTTAGTAGCCTCTGCCGAGTCACCAACAATCGGTTGTTCCGGTTTTCAGGGGAAATGGAAAGAGAGCCTGTGACGTGACTTCCGCTTTTGGACGTTAACAAGGCGACACTCCATCTTAACACCTCCACATTTACTGCACTGTTCGACGAGAACCTCCCCCGACAGTTTGTTCTTCTTCTCATCAATAGCAGTATGTAGGGGATCTACACTGAATAAAAATATAAACAATTTCAAAGATTTTACTGAGTTATAGTTCATATAAGGAAATCAGTCAATTGAAATAAATTCATTACGGCCTAATCTATGGATTTCACATGACTGGGAATACAGATATGCATCTGTTGGTCACAGATACCTTTAAAAAAATATATATATATGGGCGTGGATCAGAAAACCAGTCAGTATCTGCTGACCACCATTGGCCTCATGCAGCGCGACACATCTCCTTCGCATTGAGTTGATCAGGGTGTTGATTGTGGCCTGTGGAATGTTGTCCCACTCCTCTTCAATGGCTGTGCGAAGTTGCTGTATATTGGCGGGAACTGGAACATGCTCAAAAATGATCAATGGGTGACATGTCTGGTGAGTATGCAGGCCATGGAAGAACTGGGACATTTTCAGGTTCCAGGAATTGTGTACCGATCCTTGTGACATGGGGCTGTGCATTATCATGCTGAAACAGGAGGTGATGGCGGCAGATGAATGGCACGACAATGAGTCTCAGGATCTTGTCACTGTATCTCTGCATTCAAATTGACATCGTTAAAATGCAATTGAGTTCGTTGTCCGTAGCTTATGCCTGCCCATACCATAACCCCACCGCCACCATAGGGCACCCACAACGTTGACATCAGCAAACCGCTCGCCCACATGACGCCATACACGCTGTCTGCCATCTGCCCGGTACAGTTGAAACCTGGATTAATCCGTGAAGAGCACACTTCTCCAGCGTGCCAGTGGTCATTGAAGGTGAGCATTTGCCCACTGAAGTCGGTTAAGACGCCGAACTGCAGTCAGGTCAAGTCCCTGGTGAGGACGACGAGCACGCAGATGAGCTTCCCTGAGACGGTTTCTGACAGTTTGTGCAGAAATTATTTGGTTGTGCAAACCCACAGTTTCATCAGCTGTCCGGGTGGCTGGTCTCATACAATCATGCAGGTGAAAAAGCCGGATGTGGAGGTCCTGGGCTGGCGTGGTTACACGTGGTCTGTATTAGCTGATGTAAGAAGGGCTATATAAAATAAAATTGATTGATTGATTGATTTGTGAGGCCGGTTGGATGTACCCAAATTCTCTAAAACGACGTTGGGGGCGGCTTATGGTAGAGAAATGAACATTCAATTATCTGGCAACAGCTCTGGTGGACATTCCTGCAGTCAGCATGCCAATTGCACGCTCACTCAAAGCTTGAGACATCTGTGGCATTGTGTTGTGACACAACTGCACATTTTAGTGGCCTTTTATTGTCTCCAGCACAAGGTGCACCTGTGTAATGATCATGTTGTTTACTCTTGATATGTCACACCTGCAAAGTGGATGGATTATCTTGGCAAAGGAGAAATGCTCACTAACAAGGATGTAAACAAATTTGTGCACAACATTTTAGAGAAATACGTTTTTCGTGCGTATTGAACATTTCTGGGATCTTTTATTTCAACTCGTTAAACATGAGACCAACACTTTACATGTTGCGTTTTATGTTTTTGTTCAGTGTAGTTGCAGGCGTTTCTTTTGCACCTGCTACGTTAGGTTATAGTCTTAGTGCCCTATTAAAAGACTGAATGTTCATTTATATACTTTTGTTGTTACCTTTGAATATGGAATCTGTCAACTTTCACGATTTCTATACTTTCTGTATTTATAAACTCTGCCTTATATACTAAATGTACACCATTAAGCTCTATTACACCGTTAACCCCTATTACATCTTTATAACAGGCCTCTCCTCTCTTCCTCTCCCCAGGAGGCGGGGTTTATAGGTTTCATGCGCAGCCTGCGGGGGCGGGACCAGGGCAAGAGGAAGGAGGAGCTTTAAGGCAGGGCGTGGTGAGGTGGAGGAGCCTGTCATTGCACTGTGACCCTGGACAGGGGCCTCTTAGCACTGACATCACGTGATGTCATCATGATGTGACATCACGTGGCGGAGACTTGAGAACCTCAGCGTTTCAGCGAAAGGCTATTTTTTTATACTGATATAGATCCATCATGTGATCATGTTTGTAATACCAGTGGGATTACCTACCATCTGACCACTTGAGACTTTTTTTTTTTTCGATAAAAAAAATCAAAAGAAGAAAACAGGAAAATGTTGCCCAAATACTGTGACTGCATTTGTGAAAAGCTGCACCTAATACTGTATCTATGCAATACCGGACCCTCCCTTCCTGATCCGCTCTTGTGTGGTTGGTTGGTGGGTTAGCCACCTACAGCACTGTACATCATAGGGACCATCGCTACAGTACAGTCCTACGGGTCACTACACCATACAACTGTTTGTTTCAATATAACTGTTTAAATATTTGTGTATAGACCTGTCTATCATGTTAGGTCTTGGTTTGTTTCAGGATGATAAGAATCTGATAGCTAAAACTGTGGCCTTTTTAATAAATGTGTACGAAAGCTAATCACTCACACAGAGTCAGACAGAAAGCGTAGTGAATGATACGAGGGCCTAAAACAGTGGTGTTGAAGCCTGGTGCCTCTGTTCCTCCACGTGTGTCCAAGTCAGCCATGAGAGAAAGAAATGACAAATCAGGAACATAAAATGCCCAAAATAAATTAGAATTATAAGTATGTTACTATGCTGTATCTCCAGATGTCAATGATTTACAGAAGCCTCCTGTTGTCGTAGTGATATGCTCTTTACTATAGACGGGTTGGTTGTTTCGCAACAAAACCGACGCCTGCGCAACTATGGGGCAAAACAGACGGGATTGGCTTAGATTGTTGACAACATGTAAACTATATTTAGTCTCCAATGTTTATTGAAAACATAAATGCATTTACACAATGAGCACTTGTCTCTCAAATACATTGTTGCATTTGTTGGTTAGCTAGCAATTTCTTTTAGCCATATTAGGATAGACGTGACATTAGTCAAAACGAGACATGAGATCAAGATAAAACTAGCTGAAACGAGCCACCTACGATTCCCCACATGGCAGCTTCTTGTCATTGTGGCTAGCTATCTGGCCATCCAGAATCACAACAACACACGGACTTCTGACCCATTGAAGTGTGCACATCATTTTCGTGGCGTTGTAAGCTAACCCATCTATTGTCCTGCATTCCTCTAGTGTTACTGAGATACGTCCAAAAAACAGTTTTGCCTCTTGCAAGTGTATTCCATTATATAATCTAAGACCAATTCAAAACAAAGCTCTTAGAAAATATATGGGGCCTAATATGGTCATTAATGTGCCATTTCCACCTCTATTCTTAAAATACAGCAACAAGACTCTCCCCTCCCTTCCACCTTTTGTCTCTGTAGCAATCAGAACCATTCAACTCAATATCAGGAGGCATATGGGATTATGATTAGACTCTAGAAGGTCCAGGATCTGTTCCATCTGAACAATGCCAAGAATCCAAGAGCATATTTCCTCTGTGTGTGTGTCTGTCTCTGTCCTGGTCTGGGAAATGTTATCCCAAATGTCTCAGTACATCCAACTGGATGACTTCAGATTTCACAGTGGTGCAGAGGTGTGTGAGAAAGACGATGGACACCCTCACCACACACACACACACACACACACACACACACACACACACACACACACACACTCCCCAAGCTTGGCACCATCATCGATGCCGGAGCCATTGTCTTTGTGGCGACTTTAATGCTGTGTGTTTTCAACTCCCCGGTTTATGCCGCTATACATATTTAAAGGCCTATCTGTAGCTGAACTTGTTTTATTATTCAGGAGTTTGGTTCCTTTCATTATTGAATAAGGTTCTCAGGTGTAGCGAAAACACAATTAAAGGGAACTAGTTTGTTGTGCTAATTTGCATTGCAGTTGGATGGTTTTGAGCTCTAGAGTCTCCAAATTAAAATAATTGTTGTTTACATTTGTCTTGTATGAAAAAGAACAATGTATAGATGAAAATGGTCCAGTTTACATTTCCTGTTCCAAATCATGGCAGGAAGTATTAAATACAATGTGGTGCATATGGGGGTTAATGAACTGACTAATACATTGTTTTGGATTCTAAATGTGTTAGTTGCAAATGAGATCAGTCTGGAATGAACTGCAGACTGACATAGAACACGGTCTCCAATCAATGTTACCATTACATTTCTGCAACATGCAAAACTAGCTGCAACATCACAGAACATTGGGGGAATGCTTTACTGTATGTAGCTGGATTTTGACACACACATGCTGTTTTAGATGTTCAGTTTTTTTTCTGTTGGGATGATTTTCTTTGTTTACTTTCACTACTTTGTTTCTGCAGTACAGGACCTCCTCAGTGCTATCAGATGGTTAAAGACTTGACATAAACGTATAAAGACAACCTTTGTCTTATCCCAAAGCTCTCCATATTGTGTGGAAATGGTCACATCTATGCATAGAAGTCATTGTTGCCTTTTGTTGACTTTCTGTGCCCAGCCATATGTACAGTTTTGCCCTTCAAATGAGGACCTTGCTAAAATAAAAACTCAAAACATTTCCATGATACTGTCATGTTCTTGATGCATGTTTTCATTGTCAATGATTTATATTCTCATCAAAATCTCCTTTAATTTTTACTATAATGCAATAGCTAAGTATTACAATTTACTTATAGATACTACTGAGCCAATGAACTATGAGTGAAGAATACCATGTAGTATAAAGTCAGGAGATAGTGAGAGCCAAAGTGCCTGGGATTCTTTTTGTTTAGTTACTTACAAACTCAGCCAGAGCATGAGTGTCCAAAGCAGACACAAAACACTGGACAGTCACCACCATAAAATAAATAGAAATATAGTAAATGGAGTTTGACATTCAGGGGTCAGCGGCTTGATTGACTGAACCAGATCGGTTTGTTTCCCAAACAGCGTTTGGTATTAGAATTCCACAAGGAGTTTGCAAGACAGCACAGACAGATCTGGTACCCAGACTAGTGAAAGCTGTTTTGGACCTCTGTCTGGGGTCTGGCCTGGTTCTCCATCATCCAGTCGGAAAGACAAATAGACCTGTAGCAGTTCTCAGCAGAACAGACACCCAGGAGTTTATTGTGTCTAGAGTCTGGGCTGGAAGAGAATGGCAATGTGTCGTAAATAAAAAGTTCCCCTCTCCTCAGGCAGTGAGGTGCCATCATTGTCCTCACTACAGAGTTAGTATGCTTAACTGTTAAACTTGACTTGAAACTGGACTAATAGTCTAAAAACCTTTACTCAGTTTTAACTTTGGTTTCTTTAAGACTATGCGTGGCAACCTGGATATGCTCCTGCTTGGTAGATGCATCCCACTGGGCACAGACGTAAGTTCAACATCTAGTTTTGATTTACATTTGGTTGAGTTGTCAACTAACGTGAATTCAACGTGAAATCAACAAAAACATTCACCATGGCATTGGATTTAGGTTATAAATTGTGAGAAAAAAGACTAAATGCCCTCACCATGGCATTGGATTTAGGTTATACATTGTGTGAAAAAAGACGAAATGCCCTTAAATTGATGACTTTTTGCAAATCCAACTAGTTTTCCACATCGATTCAATGTCAGTGATTTTTTTGGGTTGAAATGACGTAGAAACAATGTTGATTCAACACTTTTTTTGTATAACTGCAGTAGCTAGCTGATGAATGCCTAAGAGTGCAGGACTAGATACCCCACTCAATCACAATTTAACTTGGGAGGATTTTGGAGGGAGCAGGGAATTTTCTCCTGGCTGGTCACACATCTTTGTATTGAAATGAGGGTTGCAAACAGTATGAGGAAATGGACCTCGAGCAGAGTTTCCCATACTCGGTCCTGGGGCCTCCCAGGGGTGCACGTACATTTTTTGCCCTAGCACTACACAGCTAATTCAAAGAATCAACTCATTAAACTTTGATTATGTTAATCGGCTGTATAGTGTAAGGGCAAAAACTAAAACGTGCACCCCTGGGAGGCCCGAAGACCGAGTTTGGGAAACCCTGACCTAGAGGATTAGCGATAGAACTGCATGTTAATGCAACCCTAGGACTGTCTGGAATTATATTAGGTCTCCTAAAAAACAGATTTCCGCCACAGATGGGTCCCAATGGTCCGTGTACGTTTCGTTATTTAGATTTCTGAGTCAAAACGGAGAGTCTTAAAACAGCTTGTTTTTCTTTTCAGAATTGTAAAAACGAAAATTGGAATTCAACTTGTTTTCTAACTTGTGTAAAAATTTGACATGGAATAATTGAAAACAAATAACAAGTAAATGTATTTTTCGTTTTGTTCATACCCGGAAGTACACGCCCCTCAGAATATTCACAGGGCTTAGGGGGTGTGTTTACAGCCTAGGTTGGCAGCAAAAATAAATGATTAGACTGTGTGAGTGTGACAGGAAGATACAAATACTAAAGTTAGCTAAGATGCAGAACTTATTATGAAGTTAGCATGCCAATAGAACAAACTCAACAACAATTGAACAAAGTTGACTTGCGCTAGCTAGCCCTACCTGGTTACTGGCTATAGTCATGCTAGCTAGTGGAAGTAAGTTAGTCCCTCAACCTGCTGCAAGTTAAAGCTGCCCGGCCAGATCTACTTACTGCAGAAAGGTCATATTTCTCCATTACTTTCTGTAGCTAACTTAGCTAGAGCTTCTGTCGGCTGATGTTGTTTATTGACAGAGTAATAATGAACAGCAGTTACTGTAAATGGTTATCTACAGTATCTGGCACTGTGCATAGCTAACCTCCTCTCCTTCCTTCAAGGAAAGCCCCTTCTTTCCACTTCCTGTTAGGCATTATGCTCTCAAGGTGTGTCTCTCCATTTCTCTCATGTCGTGTGGTATTACCTATAGATGGCCCCTAAACACTTTCAACTTGTTTGCCTGTGAATGGTTGTCCACATCATC